GTTCCTGCCAATCACTCGAGATAGAGTAGAGTCAGACTGAGAATATTCTACAACCGTCGGGGGAATAAGATTCTCGGTGCGTTCTTGTAACGCAGATCCAGGAGGGATTGACGGTCTTGCTGACCAAGTTTCTACGGACGATGCATTGGTTAATCCTGATGGGGTCCGATCCATCAAGGGTGCCTGAATCTGCGTATTTATCACAAGTCGTTGGGGAGGACCTGACAAATAGTATGACTCTGAGTTTTCTGCACGAGTTGGACCGGGTGTTGTACACCCAGGCCTTCCTCCTCCAGGTTGAACATGATGGGGGCCAACCCGACTTTCCCGCAAAGAAATAATCCGAGATCTCCCATCAGAGACTGTTCTTCTGCTGCTAGGAGAGTGACGGGAGGTAGCATTGTCTCTGACTAGGTCACCTACACCTGGAGTATCCGGGGACTTTCTCAATCTCGCCCTAGGGACATTAATACGCTCCATGGTTGACCTAGTCCGTTCCATGGCATTCTGTGTCATCGATTCGAATCGAGATGTTTGTGCCCGTCGGTGCTGTGGAGAAAATTCTTGGGACACCCCAGGGATAGGCTTGGTCGCTGAGGGAAGCAAAAATCTTTGTATATGTTCTGGTAGCGGCTCGTCCGCATTGGGGGTATATGGCGGTGGCGGAGGAACCCAGTTATCTGCATCACTTTCATGAGGTGCAAATTGTCTACGATTAGCTGAACCCATCGATTGCTGGTAGCGGGGATTTTGGAAGCGACTCCGGCCCCGATCAGCCGCTGCTGCAGTAGCAGCTCGACTGAGAATGTCTTGGGATCGAGGCTGGGTATTAGAATAGGGATTTTCAACTGCCTGGAGATCCACAACTAGGATGGAATCTGTGGGGGAGCCAGGCTGGGAAACGCTATTTCGATGAGCTCTCTCTAGAACAACAGGCTCAACGTTTGCATTTCCAATGCTGGCGCGATGCCTTGATAGCGCCATGGAACGTTCAATGACAGTATTGCGATTCCTCCCTAGTCCGCCGCATCGATTGACTCGTGTCCTTCTCCTCTCCAGCTCAACCTCAACGTCGAGGGTTGAACCCCGTTCGGGTAAAGGTGTAGGCTCTGCCTCTCCCACCTCGATTGTGATATCAACTGCCTTTCCATCAGCTGACGAACGTGCAAAATCAAAAACCACAATCCTGCCACCATCGACTGGCAGATGATCACCAACCACCTCCCCAAAATGAGACCTAACGCCGCCGGGAGCTACAGCCACTAGTCGCTGAAGACCTTGATTTTCAGTGGTTTTCAGATTGGTGTTGACCCATTTTATGCCTGTAATATCAGTCATAGACGACAACAGTCTCCCGTGAACCAAGTGGCTAGGGGGTTTTATCACTTTGTTGAGCCTTTGGGAATTCGTACGCGCCAACATAGAACCCCAGCCGCGTTCCAGGACCATATCTGATGCTGAGGGACGACCAGACACGTCCGGAATTCCATAAAGCCAAATTCCAGAACCTTGGAAACCTAATACCAGTAGTTCGCCATCAGAGCTTGCTGTGGGCTCAGAGCTTGGGCCTGGCTCTTTAATTTCACCATCTCCTCCAGGGCCAACAAAATAGGTAAACCCAGCCCGGGTATCATCAAGCTGACCGAGCCTAAAGACTTGCAACTGGGAGTCATATCCAACGATCCAAGTGACGCCTGCATCAGCAGCTTTAGAAGGAACGAGGGTCATGTTGTTGTAACCGATGGTGATGTCCGGAGATAGTATCTGTGTTGCCCACATTCGGGATTGAAACTCGGGGGAAGGCAACTCTGATTCCAGGTCCATATAAAGAGGCGGTGAAATGGAAACCATTCTGGTTTCAAGTGGATCATTTGACGAACCTACTAACATCAAACCATCCCGCGAGAACGATAGCATATCCGTAGCAAAACACCGTACAGCTCTGCGGTCAGTCGCCAGTGCGTTCTCCCCCAAAGCATGGACTTCAATACCTCCGTCATACGCAAATGCTAAAACCGTTCCTTCTGGGGAGAAAGAAATGGTACGAGGAACTTCATCCAACGAAATAGACTGGATTAACTTTACATCTCTATTTAACAGGCGGTAAATGTTCGCTTGATGCGTCGTGGAAACAACCGCCAGTAGGCTTGCGTCATCTACTATTGTAGCCGTGTGTGGCCGTCGCAAAGTCTTCAATTCGTATGAAACTGATACTGGACTAGTGGCTAAGTCAACAACGAAAATTCTGGACGAGCTCAAGGCTAAGAGTTGCCGTCCATTGGCCGAGAAGGTATATCGAAACGCTTCTCCTTGGGGAAATGCTGATGCTGAGCTTGCTGAAGCCGATATGAGATTGACAACGGTCTTCTGCGCTCCGAGAAAAGATTCAAATAGATTCCTCCTGGCTTCACGAGCGAATCTGCGCTTCAGGTGCCAGAGATCCTCCGATGCCCAGGGACGGAGGACGCCATTTTTGTTGAGTAGGACGGTGCCGACACAACCATCTAGATGATAGCGATAAAGTTCTGGCAAATCCGAGACGCCCCGCCATTTACTATTTAAAAGTGCAAGAGAGGCGAATGAATTTGCGTCTACGATATACAAAATCCTAAAAGTCAATATAAGCAGAGACCAATATATATACCAGATTTTTCCTTTCCATTCTTTTCCCTCCTTCTTTCCCTTTTGACTATTTTATAGACTTCAGCCCTCGAAAGCACCGCATAAGAAAATCGAAAAGCCCGGGCCAAGTGGCGCAGCATATGGATGAGCTTAAACATACCTCTCGATTATATTTCGCGGGAGACAGCCCAGTGAATCGCGGCCACGGCATGCGGCATCGTTTGAGGATCCAGGACTCTGCTCACGCGTTGTGTTTATTATTGGAGGGCTTCTGGTAATAGGTTTGTCTGCACCAAAAAGGGGCGTCTGCGGGCTTATAACCGTGTCGACGATCATATCCGGTCCAAAGCTGGCGGGATTCTCGAGTCGACTCCAGGTCGAAATGGAATCACCGTCTTCCATGGCCATCGTGTTGATCCCTCCAAACTACACATCATTTGCAGCAGACCTCATATTTCCTAGGAGGGTCATGTTTGCCATGCTGATGAGGTGGATTGATGTTCCTCTCATTGCTTGAGCTCTCTGTCTTGTCGTTCTCTCGTAGAGACCTGTAAAACACCCACCAATCTAGGTTTGGGCTAGGTGAGGCTGGCGTTGGGATGATCTCAGGCAGTTCCCGAAACCGTTGAACAGCGAGAAAGATCGTTTAACGAGGTGTTTACTGGCAGCAGCATAGTATTATGAAGGGCTTGGAAAGTAATTCCACACGATAACTGTAGCAGAAGTGATTACCACCTCCAGAAAAACTACCAAGAGGCTGCCGGACCACGCCAAGGCGACATGGCAATCCACTCCACAACTCGGTCAAGGTCCAATCACGACGAACGCCGCGATGTCTCCTTATTAACGCTTAGCATAATAAATGACAACATGGGATACCCCACGCCAATCGGCTGCTCGTTTATTGACATCTGTGTGTATCAAGCAGCCATCCCTGTTTTGATGGCCCCTAAGTACGGAGTAACTAGGTCGTATATACATTATTACTTCAGTTGAGCCCCCACAAGCCTCAACACGTTTTTGAAAGTGATCCTCGTCAGCAAATAATGCAATGATGGTTCAGTGAATATTAAAAAGAGTAAGCACCCAAGTGCCGCGAAAACCCGCCTTGAACTTTAGAGTAGAAATTTTTTCTTCTCCTCTCTGACCAGCATGTGCAAAAGTTCGGTCATCAAGCCAGGCTTCCTGTCAGGATTAATTGCCAACAATTGGTCGTCAAACCTCTCTCTCCTCGCATGTGGCGCAACAGGCAGTTTTCAGTTGGCTTTTTGATCTTCCCAGTTTTCTGATCCTTCATTGGCCTGAATTTTGGCAATGCATCTCATTTAACTATTGGCCAAAACTCATGGTCGTCCGTCGGTGGCGCTAAGCTTGCGAGTCGGCAAATAAGCGTCCCGACGGCAGAGTCGAACGACGGAATCGACTGATCAGCCCGATATTTTCTTCCTTCTTGTCTCTTCCATGGGATAAATATATGTCGACGAAGGGACTAACTACCCGTTTCTCTGAGAAGACGTCAGCGGGCCGTGCCTCTTGTAATGATCACTCCACGCAATGGCTGTTCGACATGGCCGTAATGCAAACCCATGCGTAAGACCAAGAGGAAATACAGCAGCCAAGGATAGTGGAACTTACTTACCCCCCACGTTAGGGTGAAGGAAAATTAAAAAGAAATCCGGGTTTTTGGATAACGGTGCGAATAGTTAGTTAGTTGTGAAGGCTATTAGTTATTAGTTATTAATCGGTATGATTTGAGCAAGCAGTGAAAAAGTGAAAAAAGCGAAAGAAGAGAGAAACCTCGGGAAGGAAGTTTAAAAAAAAAGAAATAAAGAAAGAAACACGCACCAGCAAGCGGCGCCGCAGCCGGGTAACAGTGAGGTCATATGTAACGTCTCGGGCCCTTGGGATGCCTGAACAGAAGCCAGATGTTGGGCCGTGACCCCCTAAACGACGGTTAAAGCCCTTCCTTGAAAAGGCAATCGTGACGAGTTCTCCACCCCAATCGAAGTACCTCTAGAGGAGACTTTGGCTTTCGGCAGGTTGAACATAAGCGAGAGAGCCCGTGCCGCTACTCCGGAATTGATGGGGACGATCCATCCATGGAACGCAGTCCTATCTCAGCATAAACCACTTGGAACGCGGGCAGCGTCCTGGGCCTCTGCATTCCTTGTGTTGAGAGATGCTTTAATAATTGACTTCTTGACGTGGACATTATGATTTCTACGTGGTTAATCGATCGAGCGATTACTGGCTTCGTCGCCCTGGGTGGAAGTCCTAGAGCTCCCGCCTTGACTAGTTGGTTATCTAGTTATCGTTGAATAGTTTTCTCCCTAAACCATTAATTTATCCGACGCATGAACTTCCAAGGTTCAGATAAGATGTCACCATTCACCACACCTCCCTTCAAGGGAGTTCCAAAGGATTTACCTTCAGTCCCCATCCCGGTCGGAACTCGTCCTTACAGGTCTCACAAAATTCGTGCTTGTGATCTGTGCCGCAGAAGGAAATCCCGCTGTACAGTTGATCTGCCGGGCCAATCATGTCAGCTTTGCCGTCTTCAGGGGGCGGATTGTCACTATCGTGAAGACCTGTCAAGACTTATTGGACCTCATCCTTATGACCAGAGAGCGGGAGATAGTAATCACTTGCTCAGCGAATCTCAGATTTCGCAGAAGCGAAAGCACACACTGTTGTCTCCAAACTTGCCAGGAGCAGCCACATCGGCTCCCCTGGCAACAAGGATCCCAGAGTCTCTTCCGCGAAGTTGCAGTCAGGATGGTCATATCTCTCCACGAGGGTTTGGAGAACCACTCGGCGAATCGGTCCATATTGTCGGGCCTGTTGCCGCTGAGGATGCTCAAGTCATTGAGCGGTTTATGCCCTCGGAAAATTCGGCAAAAGGTTCAGATGCCAAGGCTCCCTACAATGTTTATTCCAATGATCCAAAGAAGCCAATTCTCTATACTACGATCTCACGACGTAGGCAGGGCCTGAGGACCACCGGAATTCCAGGTGAAAGCCAGAAGGAGATCCTCGAACAAATCCTTGGTCCATTCAAACATGATTTGGTCAAAATGTATGCAATTATTCCTATCTTAATGTGCCAGCTAGGGCTCCTCGCTAATACCGCGTACGGATTTTTAGCTTTCTGGACAGAATCAACGCTTCGTTCCTGATATTTGATGAAGTTGCCTTCGAGGAATCCTACAATTCGAACAATGGGAGCCTCCCTCCAGCTTTGATGTGCCAGGTATACGCGCAGAGCCTTATATACTGGGGCCAGTCCCATATTCTAGCCCCTCATCCTAAACCGGATGTTCGATACGCAGTTAATCTTGCAGTCGCCGCATTGCATGAGGAGTTTTCAGCGCCCGGTTTATCGACTTTGAGTGCTTCCCTAATAGACCTGACAGGCCGGCCAATTTTCTCCATGACTGGAAATGCAATTAACAGCGGCCGCACGGTTGCCCTTTCTCACACGCTTGGCCTCAATCGTGACCCCAGCAGTTGGAAGCTCTCTCGTGCGGAAAAACACCAGCGTATCCGCCTGTGGTGGGGTGTAGTTGTTCATGATCGGTGGTAATTTCTTTTTTCTTTCTCTTTTTCGTTTTTTTTTCTTTTTTTCTTTTTTTCTTTTTACTTTTCTTTTGGGGTTGGGGGGTGGAGGGGTGTGGTGGGTGGTGGTTGGGTTTGTCTCTACTGCTCATACCTTGCTTTGCTAGCTGACAAAGAATAGGGCAAGCTACGGACATGGCGTACCTCCACAAATCAATAGGAACCAATACGACGTACCACTTCCGACGATCCATGTTCTCGTCCCCCAAGCAAATCCGTCTCCGAAGAGGATAAGAATGGCAGAATGCTACATCGCTCTGTGTCAGCTTACCGAGATTCTTGGCGATCTACTCCCGCTAATATACGAATTACAGCTTAAATCGCAACATGAGATCTCCAAAACCCTTCGAAGATTGAGGGCAGATATAGGGACTTGGGAAGATTCACTTCCAGAATGGCTGAAAGCCTCGCCTGCAAGCTTGCCAGCTCCCGTGTCGGGATCCAGCAGTTTGTTTCTGGCTTATTTTACTTTGAAAATGCTTATTTGCCGTGTTGAATTACAGGTAGAGTCGATTTTATAATCTTCGCAGTTGATGCTGTTTACATTTGTCTAATTTCTGTATAAATTTCTAGGAAATTAATAATTCCGATAATCCATCCAACACTGAAGGGCGCCAGTATTTCCAGACTGAATGTAGGAAAGCTGCAGAAGAGGTGGTACAGTTTATGATCTCCTTGAAGAGGCCTAATTTTGATGAATTTTGGCTGCCGTGTAAGTCACTATAACGAGCTGCATGGGATACAAAATGCAACATGCTTATATCCGAATCCAGACAGCGCTTATCACCTTACGTCGACCGCTACACTTCTAGTACGATGTGCTCTTGAGACGTCTGACCCAGAAATAGCCCGATCTTGCTTGTCTAGTGTAGATGTACTTCGTGACGCCCTCTACCGGGCCCGAGTAGAATATGACTGGGATCTTGCTGACATGTGTCTCGATCATTGCGAGCGGATCTTGGCCAAGCAACCCGGTATCATTTCCGATGATGCTCCTGGTGCTGAGCAAACCGCCCAAACACCTGATCTTGCCCCTCTACCACTCCCGGAAACCTTGACTCAGAATGATATTGTCAATGATATGATGTCAATATCCGGTACGTTCGGTACGATGGATGGCTTTCCGTTTGACATGACAGGAATTTGGGACCTTTCGGGATGGCAAGATGAACTCGGGTGAATTATGGAATAGCCATCGAGAGTCGAGAGCATAAAATCACCTTTGTTCGGAATTTCTACGATTACGACGTATCCGACCTTTACTTTTTAGATAACGGACGGACATGAAAGCTATGTCAACTATCTCTTATCACCATAGTTTGTCACAGACATAAAATACGACCAATAATATTAGCGGGAATACACTCCTCGGTGCGAGATTTGGAGATTACCGTCTGCCCATCCACCTCCCATATGTTTCCCGACTCGGTGGGGCTAATCTCCAGCCGGTCAGGACTGACAACGTTATCGACGGTTCTATATAACCTATCGCACGCTCTTTTAACGTATTTGAGATTTACGACATTCATTTTTGGCAGTTTTGCTATAGAATTATCGTTTTACAACCTACCGCATTTAACAATCACCGGCCTTATCATTCACAGCCTCCCGTTGTACAGCACCCCTTATTAAGTTGTCACTGAGCGATCGGAACTACAAATGGCACCCAGTGTCAATGATTTTCCTAGCAGCATAGCATCCAAGACAAAATCGGAATCGGTAGAAGATAATGCATATCCGATATAGTTGGTTATGCCGAACCTGAGAAAGGCAATGCGGAAAGCAGGGAGTGATTTTCGGTCAGATGTTTCGACCGTACCCACAGAAAGAATGATGCAGGTGAGAACGGAGTGAACGGTTAATTTTCAATATGTCGATTAAAAAGCAATTACCTTTCTCTGTGCTTGTTACAAACACTTTCACGTCGATACCTCTCACTTATACCCTATATTAGAATCAATGCAATCAGTTTTTAACTTAACTCACATAATTAGACCATTTTCAAAGCCTCAGTTGGCAATGATATATATGACGAAACTGGTGATCTCTCGGTCAACAGCCTCCAGGACAAACTCATCGAACTCACAGGAAAAGAAGTGGCGCTATGAGCCTCTCAGGACAATGGGGAACCAAATTTGTCCCCGGACACATCTGGTACAACCTCCGCATACAGTGCTCTTAGATCACCGAAATAATGTTTACTGCTGGGAATCGGGAGCTCCACCAGTACTGTCACAGGCTTCGGTGACTCCAGTTATCCCGGCGAATCAGATACATTTAACTCTGGATGATTGATTGCGAATGATTGGAGCAGCAAAAGACGTAGGGGTAATCTTCCTCTCGACCAGGAACCGCTTCAGCTAGATTAGGCTGGGTTTGACTCTGGATGATGTCAAGAAGGAGAAAATCGTAGGTAGAATGCTAATTTTAGGTTCATTTATTCTACATCTCACCCCTTTACCAATTGAAAGATACAAGTTATTATTAACTAGCTAAAAACGCATACAGTCAATTTCCCCCCAACTAGGGTAGTATCTCTTGAAAACATCCTAAGCAGCACCATCCTCCCGCTCAAAGACACCAAAGAAATCTCAGACTATATCAGGTCCTTCCCCGTCCCCGAAGGCCAACAAAAGCCTGTCGCCACGCACCGCGACTTTTTGATGGAATTTCCAGAGAAGTAGTAGGTCTAAAGGAATTCTGCGCATGCTTTGATTGCATCAGAATACGTCTTGCAAAGGCCCTTAGTGCGCCGGTGGGAAGTGTAATTCTTGGATCTCGCGCTTTTATCGAGAGGGCAAAATGGGTTTTGGAGGGGAGACGAGACATGTGTATTTTAAAAGTCCAAGTTTACATACATCAATATATCCAAGTGAAACAAATCACATCCTTTCGGCATACCTACATACGCATATAATATGAGGATAATATCATACCAAATTATCCACACCGGCCCAGCATGATGGCCGCCGCGGCGAACTCAGCCCTAACAACATCCATTCCTCAATTACCCCGTGTTCATGAGGCTTTTGTGAGTTATTGTGCCGCGGAAGAATTGCAGGTGTTTCCATTCGGGAGGTTGGTGTTTCATTACCAGACAAGTGAGGAGGCTGTGGAGGGGCTCATGGTGGATAGGAGGGCGGAGAAAGTGTTGGGAGAGTGGAGAGGTTGTTGTGGGATATTGTACGTGACAGGGGGGAGTCGCGGAGCGGGACGGGGATTGAGTTTTTTGAAACAGCAAGGTCTCTTTTGCGATTAAATGTCAACGAACATTCTTGAGAAGCTTGGGGTGCAGGAATTGCTTGAGTGTAGATTAGGGGAAATAAAATCATTTTTCTAACAAACCGATATATGAAAGTTAGCCCTTTTCCCAAAGTTCCCCTCGTCATAAGGTATACCAAGGTATTCACTTAAAACACAATAAAACGGTCAGAGAGAGAAAGAAATCCTCATCATAATGCAGCTGATCTTGTTCAAATAATATACACTGATACTTGGACACGAGAACTAAAAAGATATAAAACCCGTCAACCATAACCCTAGCCCCTTTCTCCCCTGACGACCTTCTCGCCACTGGGTAAAATATACAGGGAAGAAAAGGAATACCTAAAAAGTGTAACATATGAACAAAAATTAGAAGCTCACCATATAGCCCCGGGACCCACAGATACATGAAGTCAAAAAAATGGAGTTCGCTCTCAATCAAAGCAAAAAATAATGGCAAATAATTCCTTGAGAAGGGAGAGGGTAGGAGGATACACGTCGCAGAAGCGCGTGAAATGATGAATGCCGAAAGCCTTAAAAAGGGAGGATGGCAAAATGATCTTCAGGTAGCAGGGACCAAGGGGTAGGCGAGATGTTCTCCTTTCTGGTTCCAAATAAGCGACTAAACGATATGGAACAGAACAGGGGAGTAATATGAAGGAATCGCAGGCTTGATTTGGACAAGGCACGGGGGAAACCACCAAATGAATCATAAGATATTATTTCATTTTTAGGTATTCACGATGATCGCACTTTTTCTTTTCCCTTATTTTCCTATTTTTGACGTCGTAGATGCGAAGAGTTGAAGAAGATATGTTAATCCAAAGAGGATGATGTTTTGACGTTCAACGGGCCCTCCCCGGCGACAACCAGGTGAAGTAAAAAGAGGAAAAGTGGCAGACAAGATCACAATCGCGATCATTTCTTCGCCTGGCCATCTCCAGCACCGCCAGCACCGCCAGCACCACTACCACTACCACCACCAAACCCAAAGAATCCAGTAAAGCTATTCCTCATCCCCTTCATCTGCTCCTCCCTAGCCTTCTCCTCCTCTGCCGCCATCTCCGCCAGCCACTTCTCTCCATTCTCCCGAATTTCCTTATCAATCAATTCATACTGCTTCTGACCCCTCTCCCGAATCTGATCCCACAGCATCTTACCCTGCTCCAGGCCCGCAACAGGATCCACACCATCAATAGTCGGTGAGGTTGGTTTGATGCCAAAGAGCGACGTAACACTGCTGACGCTATACTTGGGCTTCTTAGCGCGCTCCTCAGCGAGCTGTTTCTCAAATTTTTCGCGCATGAGTTTCTCACGCCGGGCGAATTCGATGGGTAATTTGGTTCCCTCGAAGGATTTGAGGACTGGGCGGACGTCTTCGATGCCCATGCCGGCTACGTATTCGAGGAAGGGGATCAGGGCCACAAGTTCTTTGTCACGTGGGTTTCCTTTCCATTTATCGAGGATTATGGCGTTTTCGGGCTGGCGTTTGGCGTGGGGAGCGTGGGTATCGACCAATATCACTTTGGAAAGGTCGCGGTTTAAGTAGGAAAGGTCCTGGGGTAAAATTATTTAGCATTACGAAGAACTGGTAGCAGTGGTATCCCAAAGGACAAGAAAAAGTATATGTTTTTATACCTTGACGTGTTCACCATCCTCATACTTGGTAGCTTCCCGGAACAAGACCCAACGAATAATGCGGTACGGGTCAAGCTTTCGAAGAACCTGGTCCGCCATCATGCTAGGAACACTTGTAAAGAGGACCAATTCGTAATACTGATTAAGATACCGCAGGAAATAGTCCACGCCAGGCCTCTTAGCCACCCGGTACCCATGTTCCCGAGTCCACTCGCTGTGAACCAAGAGATCCTCCAAACTAAGAACAAGCGTATACGGTTGCCGCATCATAGAGTCATCGTCCGGGAGCAATTTCTCAAAAGCCGGATCCTTGTAGTAACTCGTTATATCTGCGAAACGAGCCTTAATACGGTCAAAAAACAGCTTAAAGCCCCAGCCCGAGGGGGCGTCCTTGTGCTGCTTCTCCTCTTCCTCCGTATCCCAATTTCGACCCAGAAATATCGTACCCCCAACCCCAGCACCGAGGAACACAGCGTACATAATATTAATTAATTTGTTGCGTCGACGCTCGGTGGATGATACGTAGGGATTTTTCGGGAGGTCGCCACCATCGCCTCCATCAGAAAATTCATTTTCTGTGAGGTTAAGACTAGTTGGGCGGTGTTTTGAACGAGCTTGAAGCTCTTCTGCTATTGTAGAAGGGATGCCTCGTGTGAGATCTGGAAGTGGTTTCTGGGGTTGTGAAGGTTCCTCCGCAGCCTCATCTTTCGGAGAATCAGCGGCTGTATCAAACTCCGGTTGATCCTTCGGCACGTCTGACTGTGATTTGGAGCCCCCCGTCTGTGCTGCATCTGCGCTGGCTCCAGTCCCCGTGAATTCAGGGGCGGTATTCCTCTGAGCATCCCCGCTGGACTTAAATTCCGCCTGGCTTTCTAAAAACTCCTGCTCTTGCTGTGGCGGCTTGGGTGTGTTTGATTGGGATTTTAGCAAATTTGAAGAAAAAGGGAGAGGAGGTTTGCTGTTATTAGCGAAATATCGCAGATGCGCAGGAGATGTGAATGATGCTCGGATAGAAGATGTGACCGCACGAGGCCTCAATAAAGGCAACACGACACGACTTAGCATGATGTAGACTTGCAACCCCAATAAAAAGGAGAAAAAGGGGAATCTCTCTATACGCTCATATTCAATGCTGTGCAGACAATTGGGGGAAATAAAAAAGGTCTGGTAGAGTTGGCACTCTCCGTTTTTGAAGCTCGGAATAGTTAATACAAAATGATTCCTAGATCTTTTGATTTGAGAAAAACCTTCGAGAGAGTGCTGAGTCAGCAGCCCTAAGCTTAAAACCTCCCATCTTCAATTTCTTCTTGCTCTTTCTCTTCTCCAACCTAATTGAAAGTTGCACCCTGCGGAACGAAATTTGACACTATGCCTACCATTCTCTCCATGTGCATAGGGTTGTAAATGCCGGGGAGACCAATGCTCAGTCAGTCGTGCCACCCCAAGAACGTCAGTTAGGCTTCTTTTGGGAACCCCGTGAGCTGTTCTGTTCCGTTGGCATCGATATATGTCGCAGAACCAGGCAAGTGGCTGTTTAGCAATCTGTATGTTAGAATTTTATGAAATGGTGTTGAGCTCCTGTTATTTTTACCCTTGCTCTCTGAAGCTAGCTCTGTAGAATCACTGAATTTGATGTATTTTCTTTTTCTCTTTTTTTTTTTAAAAAAAAAAAATCTCGACTAGTGTGTTTCCCGTGTCTGCCGAGAGAGGAGAGGTGCTGGTCATCAATGCAGCAAAGAATAGCCTCACTCAGGTCCCACAACGAGTGAGTCAAGTTGGAGCTATCTTTGTTTAAAATAACGTATCACTGTCACCAGTTTCATTTATTCTATCAATTTACCGTACAACAATTTCGATATGGGTAGATTGGGTATTAAACATTGCGCTCTTCTGACTGTACATGCCATCGCGTCCGGACTAGAGCTTCTTTTGGGAAAATATAGCACAGATTGTTGTTCTGCTCAGCTACAAATCTCCCCTCCAGGTTCTTTGTAACCGACTTAGCACTTAAACCTCTCATGCCTTTCCCAAGTTCTAAACCGTAAAATCTCATCATGCCAGCGTACAATATAGTATATGCGTATCTCACGCGGCAAGGGAAAAATATCATTAGAGCACATCTATAGACAAATAAAGCCTGATATTGCATGCCCAAAAAAGGAGCTGAAAAAACAAAAACCAAATCAGAAAAAGGGAACCTTATGGCTCTTCATCCACATCCATCGACTCATTCTGTGGAACGTTGCTTTTGCTAGACTCACGGGCCAAAGAGGCCTCCTTGTCAATCATCTGCCGTGAGACGGCTACAATATTGTCTTCGATGAGCTGCTGGCCAACATCTTCGATATCTATTTATCCCGTGAATACAATAGTTAGCAAAAACAATATAATATCACTAGACCACAGTGAATGAACGGGGTTGAGAAAGGTGGTATCAGTAGCACTAACGTTTCTTCGGATCCACCTTCCCAACGTATCTCGTCTTCAATTGATCCTTCGTCAACTCCGTCTCCTCCTTAACCCGCTTCTCATAGCCTTCCGCAAGACTAACAAGCTTCTTCAACCGATCGATATTCCTCTGCCCTTCTTCTCTAAAGTCATTCATCTGCAACGCCTCCGTCCATACATGCTTATGCAGGTTCATCAGCATATTCTCTTCCAGTCCCGTCTTGCGATAGTTAATGGCGATACTATAATAGTGGCGATTGAGGCCGTGGATAAGCGCTTGGATGGACGGTTTGTTGAGGTGTCCCAAGTTGGAAGTCGTCTGACGTGGCTCCTGGCCCATCATGAGAGTCTGTGAGGATATCAGGCGGAAGGCGTCGATGACAACTTTGCCTTTGACGGATTGTATGGGATCTACGACGACGGCGACGGCGCGGGGTGTAAGTTGTTCGAAGGACTGTTGGGTGTTGATGTCAACGGAGGAAAGCCAGCAGCCGAATCCGGGATGGGAATGGTACCATCCGACAACGGTCTCTGGCCTATATGTAACGACATGTCAGTAATAATGAATTATGATGCAAGTATTTTGTACAGGACGATGTATAGATATAGATATATATATCTATATTATGGATCAAGACAGACCTTCCCGTTTGTCGAAGCATCTCCATCATCTTAGTCTGGAAGACAGGATCGACAGCTTCAACACTAACACCCGTGCCGCTCTGAGGCATCGCAAACACATCTACCACTCTAACGGTAAACTCATCGACGAAGTCTCCCAGCATAAGACCCATGACTTCCATAGGGACACCTGCACGGCCATGCCTTAGCATCTTGAGAAGGGCAAGCGACGAGATGTGCACGGTTTCTGAGTTATCGATGAGGTTGGGCGCATCCTGAGAAGCCGCACTGTTAGGCATTTTGGGCAAGAAAGTAGCAAAATGCCAAAACTCATAGGAAAGATAGTTGTTGGAGGCTTTTTAAGGGGTGCCTTCATCCCCGAAATTCCAAGAGCGGGTGTGGACGAGGAGGGAGATGAGGGTGCAAAGGTGACACAGCTGGGAGGTATTTAGCTTACTGCGCCTGGAACTGCGTTACCCATGCCCATTCCCTGGGCAGCCTGCAGCATCCGGTTAAACCGCTCCATGTTTGCGATATGTGATGTTGTAGTTGAAAATGTAAACTAGGAGGAATCAAGGCGAGGAGGTATCGATGGAGGAATGGTTTGGGCAAAGTTGGAGCGGGCTCCAACACTTACGCTCTCCGTTGCCAGAGAAGCTCATAAACAGGGAGTCTGTTCAACGATCTCAAGAGGGTATATCTGACGGGGGAACTGAGCAGCTACCTGTCCTATGTATATCTATGTTAGGTAAAAGGCTGATGAGATCCTTTTCTATCTGTCTGTTCTGTTCCAGTTCTTGTTCTGTTTGTCTGTTGGAGCTTTATTTCAAACAGCTTGGAGGCGACTGCTGCTTAGTCAGTCGCCTGTTCCCAGCTCCGCAACTTCTCCGCCTGCGCCTTCAGCTCCCATTTTCTAGTCGCTCTTCAACTGCTCCACTTCCTCAACTATCCTCAACTGTCCCAATGAGATAGGATAGGACTGTGGTGCATCAAAAAATCCTCTCACCAGCCAGCAGCGCTTGGAATTACATGCACTATACGATGCTCGCACTCGATTGCTGACAGCATCCCTCTATTATACCCCTGTTTTTCGATCTCTTCTCTCACTATACATCACATTCTTCTCTTCATACATTTAATACCTCCATATAGCGACCCCGACCACTGAACTTCAACCCTTTCCATACAGCATATTGGCGGACGCAGAATCAGCCATGTCGACGTCGTTCGCCCCTCTCGACCTGGGCATCGCCAACGGGCCCACAGACAGGAAGAGGGTCGCCTACTTCTACGATTCAGATGTGGGCAACTACGCCTACGTCGCGGGCCATCCCATGAAACCCCATCGCATTCGGATGGCCCATAGCTTGGTCATGAACTACGGTCTATACAAGAAGATGGAAATATACGTACGTTTTTCCTTTCTCTCTTTCTTTTTTGTGCTTTCGCCATTCGCCCTTTTCTCTCTTCTTACTTTTTGGATTTGAAATTTCCCTTTGATGGGCCAGATTTACTAATAACATTTTCTATGCTTTTTCCTCACCTTTTGTATGTTGTGCAGCGAGCAAAACCAGCGAACAAATTCGAAATGACACAGTTTCACACGGATGAATATATTGACTTTCTCGCGAAAGTTACACCCGATAACATGGATTCATACGTGAAGGAACAGAGTAGATACAATGTCGGTGATGACTGTCCTGTTTTTGATGGCCTCTTCGAGTTCTGCGGAATCAGTGCCGGAGGCAGTATGGAAGGTGCAGCGCGCCTCAACCGAAATAAATGCGACATCGCAGTCAACTGGGCTGGAGGCCTTCACCACGCGAAAAAGAGCGAAGCCAGTGGCTTCTGCTATGTAAATGGTATTCCTGCCACTCTCGTCTCTTAGCATTCGTGAATGACTCCACTTACAAACTAAATTCCTTTGTTTTAGATATTGTGCTTGGTATCCTCGAGTTGCTCCGTTTCAAACAAAGAGTTCTTTATGTGGATATCGACGTCCATCATGGAGATGGAGTGGAAGAAGCCTTTTACACTACGGACAGAGTCATGACTGTGTCCTTCCATAAATACGGAGAATACTTCCCTGGAACCGGTGAATTACGTGATATCGGCGTCGGTGCTGGTAAACACTATGCCGTAAATTTTCCGCTGCGAGATGGTATTGAAGATATAAGCTATAAAGGGATTTTTGAGCCGGTCATTAAGCATGTTATGGAATGGTATCGTCCCGAAGCCGTCGTGCTCCAATGCGGCGGAGACAGTTTGTCTGGAGACCGACTTGGTTGCTTTAATCTGAGTATGAGAGGGCATGCAAATTGCGTAAAATACGTGAGGAGTTTTGGTATTCCCACCATGATCGTCGGTGGCGGCGGTTACACCATGAGAAACGTTGCGAGAACCTGGTGTTTTGAAACTGGAATTCTAGTTGGCGAGCAGCTGGGGACTGAGTTGCCATATAACGACTACTATGAGGTAAGCCTTACCGCCATCATCTACTCCTCTTGCTATATTTGGTGATTAAGGGTATACTGTAGTACTTTTCTCCCGATTACGAACTTGACGTCCGACCGTCGAACATGGATAACGCCAATTCCAAAGAGTATCTCGACAAGATTCGAATGCAGGTTATTGAAAACCTGAAGCGCACTGCTTTCGCACCATCTGTGCAGATGACAGACGTCCCCAGAGGCCCATTAATTGACGGCATGGATGACGAGGCTGATGCCATCTTAGATGATCTTGATGAGGACGAGAATAAAGACAGACGGTTTACCAAGCGGCGGTTCGACCAATACATCGAGAAGGAAGGTGAATTAAGTGACAGCGAGGACGAAGAAGAAGCGGCTGCCAACGGCATCCGCCCGCAGCCCGGTGTCATCAAGCGACGGAACCAGGTCAACTACCGAAACCTCGACGGTGATTCCGGTGTTGATAGTGGCCTTGCCACTCCGCGGGAAGAATCGTCGATACCAGATGATGATGCTGGTCTTGATGATAAGATGGAAGATGTCGAAGAAACTGAAACGCAAGAGAAGGCAACGCCGTCTCCCGAAGAGCCGACAACTCGATCAGAATCAAGGATGGATGCAGATGATATCTCCGAGGGCAATGGGGTCGCGTTGCCAGACGCTGCAGCTGCTGTCGCTGACGAAGAGCAGCAGGAGGAGGAGCCATTGGCGTCAAAAGCCATATTAACCCATGCATCAGCTCTGCCGGAAAATGCCGACTTGGAGGACACGATGATGGAAGACGCGCCCCCGGAAGAACCCGCCACCAAGGACTCCACGGAGGCACCAATATCTGCACCTGTACCCAAGGAGGAGTCGCGTGAATCATCGCGACCCAAATCACCTGCAATTGGAACCCCCACGCCTGCTGTGACTCTTACTCCCGCATCTGCTGCCGCTCCCGTGACAGCTTCTCACCCATCTGAGCCCGCTGCTGGAGCAGAGGCGTTGGAAACAGTCACGACCAAAGCCGCTGAAGCCGACATATTTTCGAAAAGAGAGTCGTCTCCTCATGGTGATGAGAAGAAGGAGAAAAGGGAGGATGATCAAATGGCATAAATGTATCTGGCTGAGTTTTTGAGTTTTTTGCTCAGGTGTTGGTTTGAACAAAGCAGAGGGACTCGGGCGCTCAGGGTGGATTTAGGAAGGGATTTTCATCTTCTTTTTTTATCTTAATTTTTTCTCTTTCATTTTCGTGTGTTCTTTTCTGTGTATTTGGTCTTTTCCAGGGGGCGCGGTTGATCATGCCTGGCGTATGTCCCTTTTTCTTATTTTCATTTTCGGGTTTTGATTCTGAGTAGTTCTTTTTAAATATCTTACATTTTACCTTTTTTTGGAGGCCTTTTTCTTTTTCTTTTACTTTGTTGGATCATGTAGTTATGTATTTTATGTGATGTGCTATTTGCTAATTTTATTCTTCTACCCATCCTCCGTTGCTCAAAGAGAAGGTATCCCTTGATTACCGCGTCCAATACCGTAATATATTAGATATAAACTTCCAAGGTTATCCCAAATTGGCCTAGCTTTAGGGCAACCCCCGTGACCAGCTGACTAATCCTTCCTTAAACCGAGGAATTAGCGCCAAGAGTTGTACGAGCCCACACTAAGCGAAAAGGCGAACCTTGAAGATAATTCACCAACGACGCTGCTGAGAGCCCGCAAAACCACACCAACTTCGACGACGACGACGACGACGCCAAATTGTCCCTTCGTACATCAGTTTCTTTCTAGCGTCGAAGTAAACAACCTTTATACTCTAGCACCATGTCGAAGAGAGGGTAAGCTGAACATTTAATCAATCCCCTTGTTGGTTGTGGATGGGTGGAGATTTGCGGGATCCGACGGAATGGAGGAGAGGAAAAAAATAGAGGGAAATTGGGAGATTTGTTGGATGAGGAGGAGGAGGATATGGAGGAAATGGAAGAAATGGAGATTGAATATTTTGAGGGGGAGGGGGAAATGTATATATATATATATATGTTGAAGGAACTTGGAGTAATGCTGACTGAATTCTGTTTTATTCTTATAGTCGTGGCGGTGCCGCCGGTAACAAGCTGAAGATGACTCTCGGTCTGCCAGTGTACGTTTTGACGACAATTCCCTTTTCCTCCCTCCGTTCATTACATCCCCGTGAACCTGTCTCTGGGAAAACAAAGATGATCAACTCGTTTATTTTACATTTCACCCACCCACCTCCATATCCATCCTACACGAGCATTGCACTACCCATCTCATCGAGGAAAGCGTCCAAAATAAAAGAATCTCGAAGCTTTGAGGATTGGAGGCCTAAATTAATACATAACTAACCAAGGACCTTTTACACAGCGGCGCCGTGATGAACTGCTGTGATAACTCCGGCGCACGAAACATCTACATCATCTCCGTCAAGGGCATCGGAGCCCGTCTCAACCGCCTCCCCGCTGCTGGTGTTGGTGACATGGTCATGGCGACTGTCAAGAAGGGAAAGCCCGAGCTGAGAAAGAAAGTCATGCCCGCTGTTGTTGTGAGACAGAGCAAGCCGTGGCGACGGGCTGATGGCATTTACCTGTATTTTGAGGATAATGCTGGTGTGGTGAGTGGAAGATTGCTTCTGCTTTTGTTCTTCCTATCTATTTTCCTCTGTTCTTTTTCGGGTTGGGGTTTTGGGGTGGCTATGTGAAAACGTGTAGAGACGATTTTGCGCTTTCTCTAAAAAAGATGAGCCATGTTGGTTTGTTGGTTTGCAGGAGATTCAAATGGGTTTTGCTATACGACAGTTGAATGTTTTTCGCCTTGGGACATGGAATCCCGGAATCCATGCGATGTTTTCTCAAGACAGTTTCCATGCTAACTGATCCATATACGCAGATTGTCAACGCTAAAGGTGAAATGAAGGGCTCAGCCATCACCGGCCCAATTGGAAAGGAAGCTACAGACCTGTGGCCGGTGAGTTCCGTAAACAATACCCCACTGCATTCTATACCAGAATTATATATATGCTAACACCAACTTTTCTTCTATAACAGCGTATTGCAGCTAACTCGGGTGTTGTGGTATAATGGAGTATAAGGGGGAACGGCCTCTTTTTTTTTTTTTTTTTTTTCCCTTAGAAATGAAAGCAATCTTCAAGGCGTTATGTTGTAATGCTATACGCAGAAACTCGTTCATCAGTATTTTTATATATATTATTCCTTTTCTTCCCTTGCTTTACCCCCCTTCCCGGTTCTTTCCTTTTTGCGTCCATTTTTCCGACTTCCAACATGTCGCCATTCAGTGATAATTCGATATAAAAGCCCTGAGGATCACAAGTAGGAACCAATGGAATGACAACAATATTACGAAGACAAATTAAGCAAGGGGAACAATCTTGATGTGAAGACTACGAAGAAAGAAATTAATTAAGAAATAGCCATGTTAGCAGGAAACGTGTGAGAGGGGAAGTCTGGCACCTCACATTCGCTTTCCCCCCTCCTTATCACATCTGGCAAACCCTGTCTTTGCCTTCTGGAGTCCAGCTTGCTGTGAAATAAATGGATTCGTTTTTCCCAACAGAGCAACTGGTCATATACGTATACAGTCATTTTAAGTTCATCCAATGTGAACATGGGAGTTATATATTTGCCGAGTAGATAAGCCCTTTCTAGGTTCCCAGGAATTGTGGCTGGCAGAAGCGACTCTCCCGGGAAGTGCACAAGTAGGCTGGCTGCTCTTTGTGTTTTCTCTATCGCTCCCAAAAAGCAGGCGTTGTTCAATTGACAAACTACCAGATTGTTAGACCTAAGTGATGGGAAGAACAGATATGAATTAGGACCTAAAGGTTAGAAGACCGTAACCAACATTCTCTATCATGCTAATAATAGGAATACCTGGGCATACAAAGTCTTATCTCCAAAATGAATCCAAAAAAACGAAGACAAGGGTATCTTAATTGAGAAAAGTCATTATTCCATTCCTGGTAATTCAATTCTTAATTCTCACTGCCCTCTTCGAATCCTCACTCCTCCGTCTATCGGGGGGGGGGGGGGGCTTTCACACCGCGAGACGTCTTCTTCAAACCCGCACCACCACTCTTCCACCCCTTTGCTGTTGATTCTGTAACAGCTCCACCTGGGGAACTGCTAACCAACCACCCCCAAACGCTCAATACCCCTGAAATTATAACTAAAATAGCGGTGACGGCCCCAACAACATGAATGGTCCACCAGATATGCTGCACTCCCAACCGACATGTGGAAATCTCATACCTCCATTCCTCCACAGAGGGATCGGAGTCAAACCACAGAGATAGGAAGCCAGCATTACCGCCAAATTCACCCATCATTGAGCGGAGGGTAACTTCTCGAATGCTAGGCGTATCATCCTCCTCCTCCTCCAATGATGGCAAGGAATGCGATTTATGACGAGGATACCTTTTAGCCTCCCAAGACCAACCAGGTGATAGAACCCCCTCCGCACCGTCTTGTGTCACAGATCGATTTACGAAATGCAAAACGTCACATCCAACATGATCATGACCAGTCAATACCAGTCCATTCCGACCCTTCCCCTTAGCAGGAGCATTTGAATCCCCGCTCAACCCAAACAGCCCCTGCAATATTCCCATCTGACTAGCATGTGGACTGAGATGATTCTGCTCGCGTAAGCCACCAGCTTTAAACCTCGGCCCCTGGCCCTCTGGAGGCTTTTCGTCGTCATTGTCGTAGAAGCTGAAAAAGGGGCCATCGAAGCAGACTCCCTGATGCTTATGGAGTGGGAGGTGGGTTAGGAGGAGCGTGAAGGAGCTTCGATCCTCGACTGGTTGGGATCGTTGTTGGATCACGTCGTTGAGGAAGTCGTAGGTGTGTGATTGGATGGATGGGGAGAGGGCGGGGGTGTCCAAGATGAGACTGTTTAGTACGACGAGGTGGATTGAGGGGGTGGTGGTGGAACTGGGTGATGGTGATAGTTCATCTGTGGGACTGGTAGGAGCTGCAGAGGTGGTGGTGGTAATAGTACCAGCTCCATGAGGCGATGTCGTAAGGTTATCCCGAGCAGCCGGATAGCGGAACCTGATATCCCAATTCGCCCGACCAAAGACCCTATCGAAGCGCTCCATGCGTGCCTCGCTAATATCGCCCGCATATCCAACATCGTGATTCCCCGCAACGTTAATGATGCGATTCTTCCAGGCTTCAACCGCAGAATTGGCCCGTACACTACCACTATCCAATAACACTTCCTCCACCTTCACATCCCTCCCATGCACCCCTTCACCGCCCGTAACAGTTATCTCATCATCAACCCTAACCCCAGCGCCAAAAACGCGGTTCCAGAACCTCCACGCGCGCCATTCAAACTCACCATCCGTCACCCATTGGCTTCCCATAAGATCACCAAGTACAGTAACATGTGTAGGCTTTGTCCACCAGTGCAACGACCGGTATATATGCGCTAGATAGAAATCATTTCCAAAAAGATCTAACCGTTTGCGCGCCCCTGAAAACGCGAACGGGATATCGACCAGTAGAGTGTCAAGCAGGCTCCCACGAATTGCGGATAGAAAGTCCGTCCATGTATCTGTCGATACGACGGCTTCTCGGTATGTGGTGAGGCGATTGAGGAGGCTGTCATTCGCGTTTGGGAGGGAGGTATCCCCTTCCAGCTGGGGGTCGGCTAGGACGAGCAGACGGAAAGGTGCGATTTGGGTGTAGTGGGAGGGGTCGAGAGGGATGTTGATGTGTTGGCGGAGGGTATTTAGGATAGCGGGAGGGCTGGAAGGGCTTGAGGCCGGGGGGGGGAAGTTGCAGCCACAGAATATTGGGTAGAGGTAGAGGTAGGTCAGTGATGTTATTGAGATGGGGAGGAGGATGGAGAGGAGTTGGCAAAGGGAGGTCTGGAGGGACATAGAGTCGCAGGCATTGGAAGTCCTTTTTTTCACTCTCTGTCTAATCCACACTACTGTCAGTCGAGTCTTATTTTCATATTTTATAAAATGTGGTATATAGAAAATACTCTGTCTGTGATTAAAAGAAGGGCTACTTGGGGTGAAATATTTATGGGGTCTGTGGAGGGAAACAGGAGGTTGTTGTCTTTTTGCTCGGCAGGGCTCGCGTCGCTTGCGCCACTTCTGACACCAAGAGAGCTGCGAGGAAGGGACAGAGTTAAAACATGCCCGTACACAGGCAGATAAATGTAGGAAATAGACTTACTTGTCAAAACAATACACACTACAATTATATACAGGAAAGAAAGCTATACAGTAGTGGTATTATTGCTCTGATAGCAGTGAAAGTAGTGTACAAAATAAACCTTCACTTTCGAGAGAAAAAACCACTAGTTGATGTAGACTATGTTGAAAGACTGAAAACAAAATGCCACATCAATCAATTACAAGTTCTTGATGAGGTAGGAGAAAGAAAAAAAAATAGGTAAGGGAAAAGGAAGCGCCCCCCTGTATTTTGGGGGAAAATGAAAGAATAAAGAGATAAAAAAAATATTTCAATGTCGGTTCATTGTTCTCAAAGTCATTTATCTTCCTCCTCATATCGATTTAATTCATATCATCAAAGGGGGAAAGAAATAAAAGAAATTCTTCTAAAGGGAAGGGTATATCTCATGGAGCGCCATATGTTCAACTCCTGCAAAGGAAAGAAGAGGAAAAGGACACAAATGAAATGAAGATAGAACTTGGTGTTGAAGAATAAGGTAGCAAAAAGCGAAGAAATAGTGTGTGTGTGTGTCAAAGAATGACGGTGGGGGGAAATGCATGCATTGTTATAAATATAGGGCAAATTGAAGACATAACTTGAGGGTTGAAAAAAAGAAATTATGCCTTTTGCACAACAATAGATAGATAGATGGGACGCAAACAAAAAGAATAGAAAAGAAAAAGAAAGAAAAGCAATCACTGAGAAATAGTCTGCGCCCTTGGCATCAACTCAGATGTCCCAGTATCACCAGCTTCAAGCCTCTTCAGTTCCAAGCTAGCACGCTGTTTATCATTTCCTTCTCCATCCTTCTGAGTCTCAATATTCAGACCTCCGCCAGCTTGCCCGTTTGCTGAATCGATATCTTTCTCCGAAGCAGCGCTGTTGCCGCTGTTGGCATTATTATTGTTATTACTATTATTGACATCCTTGTCCTTGCGTTCTGAACCCATGAGCGCAGGAGGGCGCTGGTTCATAGCGCGAGCCTGCTTCAAACTAATAGTCTTCTGCTTGTTTGTGGTTTTGATGGGTAGATTCAGATCCCGCTCGATGGTCGCTTTCATCAGCGCCGCCATCCACAGACGACCCTGTTGGATGTTGTCGACTTGGAAAAAATGGATGGAGGGCTTGGTAAATTGGACCGCTCGCGATAATCCGGCTTTAGGGGGGACGAGTTTGAAGATGAATGGAGTATCGATTGCAGAAGTCTTGGTGGTATCCGAGGCAGTATCTGAGGTCTTCCCACCACCCTTGTTATTTGGCGAGGTTGGAGAAGCGGTTGCTCCGGTGAGTGTAGCGTGGAGAGAAGTGATTGTCTCCTGGTCGGCGCGGAATACGCGGTGTGAGGAGATATCGATCAGTCCTCGCTCCTCCGTGTCATCTTCCGAGTAATAATATGACAATCTGCGGCCACGGAGAACGAAAAGGCGCGGTTTCCATGTGGTCATCAGGTTAGAAGATTTTTTCTTCATCCAGCCTGAGTAATCACATCCGACCATTTGTTCTTGGGGTGTCTTTTTCTCTAGCCCTCGCATGTATGCACTTGTATCTTTCTTCGATTTAGAGCGGGAATTGGAAGCCTTTGTCATCGTTACTAAGGCAAACGCCCCCTCGACGTTTTTCGCAGAGCTATCTGTGCTTTCTATGTCGAAGCTCTTGGACGCACCAGATGTGGTACTGGAATTTGTCGTACTCGAGGACTTCAGAGGATCTTTCGGCAGATATGATATAGGAGACGAGACCAATGCTTTCTCTTGTCCAGTGACTGCGTCCGATATAGCGCGTAAGCCTATGGCACGACGTACTTTGGGTGCAACATTTTTGAGATTGGAGGACGGCAGGGGAGACGACCGACCTGAGCTTTCTCCATCTGTCTTCGAGGAAAGAGGGGAGAGTGCAGAGAATATACCATGGCTCGGGCTCGTGGTTTTTTCCAAGTTCGTCACTGTGGGAGTTTGAGACTGGTCCGCAAGTGAATCCTTGCAAGTAAGGCTAGAGTCATCAAACTGACCTTTGGATGATCCTCCCTGGAGAAGCTTGGGCGAAGAAAAATTGGGTACAAAATCCCGGATCGAATCTACACTACCAAAACGCGAGTGCCGTTTAACACGAATTTGTTTCAAATCCTCTGCAGTAGCACTGGACTGCCTCGAATGGCTGTAACTTCGACCTGTTGAATCGCGCTTTGTGAGCACTTTGCGAATCTTCCGCATATCTAGTTCACCACCAGAGAAATATCCACGATCCAAATCAGCAGAGTCCACCGCAAAAGAGGAATCGGAGTCACCAGGTTCAGGACCGCCAAGTGCTTGCTGGCGAATAGATCCTCCCCGGGATCCGATACACGTATCAGGCCGACCACGTCCTGGCTGCGAACCCGAGGGCATAGTCCATCCCCTGTCAAAGGAAGATTTCGCGTCTCGAGGAGTCTGTGTTGGCTTTCCAACTATCTTCTTATTCTGGTTTAACGATGCTGGCGAGCCATCCATTGATGAATGCGGGCGAGGATAGTTGTATTGGCGAACGGACGCAGCTGAAGGTCTCAAAGCACCATCTAAACCGGCTGATTGGTTTAGATGAGAAATATATGAAATATTACTACTGAGAGTTGAAGATATAGAGGACGCTATTCCTGGAGAACGTCTCGCAGAGGCACTTCTCGATTGGTGTGCGCTGTGGGTATGACTTTCAGTGAGGCTGGGAATCCTTGGAAGAAATGACCCTCCTGCTCGACTCTGAGATCGATCAAAGTCTTCAAAAGAGCGGTCTTTGTTGGAGAAGGGAGATGTGGACTTCCGTGCCCACTTAGTGCCTTTAATCTCTTCCTGGAAGGTCTTGATTATATGCCACGTCTTCAATCGTCTCCCCATAACCCCAAAATTGAACTCTTTCATGTAAATGAATTCCTGGTCCATCTCCAACAAAACATCTCCGGTAATTTCCTGCTCCTCAAAGATCTCGCAGTGTTTCGGATCAACACCAAGTTCATGAAGATGATGGGCTGTCTGGTGGTGATCCCAACTCCTTACTGCAGCTTCTGTGAGTGTAGCTACCTCCTCCTCGTCGGTTTCTGCACCGGGTATGTATGAGATTCTGTGATCCAGATGGTTGCTGTACTCACTGCCGGAATCGTTGTGATTTTTCTGGTCATGAGCAACAAAGCTATGGCGAGGAGTGTTGAAATTGGTGATATGCTCATCGATAACACTCAGGGTTTCGTTCATAACTGGACTATCATCACCATTCCGACGAGCCGACATGACTTCGCTCATAGATCTTTGCATGGTCGGCTGCATGGGAAATGAGGAAGACAGTGGTGGTGATGTGGTAGATCCTTGCTGCGGTTGTTGGGCAGGTAGTACTAACGTATCACTTACAGATGTCTCAGTAAGAGAAGGTTTGAAATCGACCCCACTCACTTGACGTGACGCTTGTGGGGTTATGTCGTCATTGAATGATGGCGAGACAGGAGTTGAAGAAATTTCCGTTACTTTAGGTGAGCCCAGCGGCTCACTATTTCTCTGTGATCCTGATGGAGTAGTTGAGTTTGAAGCTGTGTTAGATGGTTGTTGACGAACTCCTAATTTGGGTATAGTTGTCGTATAAACTAAGGCATCACTTAATCAATTGTGATCACGACAGTATAAAAAAGTTACTTTTTGAGGTTCCTTACCCCCGGGGAAAAGACCAGTTCTATTTTCAGCCACATGTTTGCCTAAATACCATCCATCCCCAAAGCCTTCATCGAGCTCCAGTAACTCAACCTTGTCTCCTCGGCGAAGGGTGAGTTCGTCGGCTCCACGAGCTTGAAAGTCGTCTATCTCAGATTGTGTGATAAGTCCAGGCCCTGGCAACCTATAGTTGCATAGAAGAAAAAGGATTACTCACGGACGACTACCAGGAAATCTCCAGGTTGCACACCTTGGGGAAGCTCCGGCGTATGAGGCATTCTTGAGGCCGCTGTATATATCAGGGATGGCAAAAGTCAATATTTGTAAAATGCTCTAGTAGACCCTTCAAATTGGAGGACGAAGGAAATCATGGAGCACGCAACTGTTTGCGGTTCGTGAAACTGGAATGACCCAGGCGTTGTTCAACTTAGGCTTTCACAGGGTCAAGTAATTCACTGATTAATCGAGCTTGTAAAAGGAGAACATGAAAATCGCACTGACGCCGTCCGATTCCGAGGTCGAGGAATGATTGCGGAACTAAGTGAATTATCTGGGGGGCTTTAGAATGAGCAGCCAAGCCTTACAGATCTATATAAAGGCGAGACGGTGCTCAGTAGTAGCCCAAAACGCATGAAGATGAAGGAAAAGTAGGTAGTTGTTTGAATATGGAGAAGCGATGATCTATGTTCCCTCAACAGAAATATAACGGCACAAAATTGAAGGAAAGAGGGAAAGAAATTAATTAAAATTAAAAAATCGAAATGATGAGAATTAGAGTGAAAACGATCCGTCGTGTCCTTTCGTAGCTGATGTAGCTGATATAGCTGATATAGCTGAGTGAGTCGTGGGGGAGGGGGTGGATGTGGTTGAGAGAGGCCAGGGCCAACAACACGTTTTTTGGATACTGCCACGTCCAACACCTCGCAGAGACCGAATGGAATCGACACACACAACAAGTGCAGGTCGTTGAAACGAGAATGCGGGTGAGGCGGCTGGAATTAGCATTCTGGCTCTGTGCACAGTCTGGGTGCTCCCATGACTATTACCGGGGGGATCGACAAAGACGGATCAGACGGACAGAACCCAGAGATGCAGAAACCAGGAAGTGAATCGGTTTGAAGTTGAGGTTGAAGTCGTTGAAAATAGATGCAGCTGAACATTTCCAAGAGCTGGGGTCGGGGATTGAACTTTTTCCGGTTCCACTTACAAATTGGGGTCCGTGTGAATGGCGTGGAAACCCGTGACCCGGGGAATAACGGCCCGGGCATTGGCACAGCCCACATTACTACGTATTGAAATGTTGGGGCCCACGGGCCCAATAACAGTGTGTCAAACCAAACCCCACGGCCGAAACGGGACATCAGTTGACCCAATCCGTGTGTTCTACTCTATCCCGTTATGGTATCCCATTGCTATTCATTTCGCTGTGTGTCATGTGACTCATCTGTTTGTTAACCAGCTCAGATTTCGCGACTTCTGACTGGCTCAAGTCAACAACTACTGCAGGGCTTAAAGAACCTATGTGGAAGCGAATTACCACTAATATCCTAGTAATTTAGTAAAATAAATAATTAGCTTTGATTTTTTTGTCAAATTTACTATTCATTATTTTTTATAAAGTCAAATTTTACTGCCTACTAATTTAATCAAATTTAACTAACTAGTTAGTTATATAAATAAATTTGAATAAATATCTTATAAAAGTAAGTAAAAAAATATCTTATTTATATAAAAAAAATATAATTTATATTTCAAAAATATTTGCAAAATAAGTTAATAAAATAGATTTAATTTAATATATTTTAATTAACTATATTATAATAGATTTATTATTTATTAATAATTTTAATAATTTTTAAATATTTTAAATATAGTAATTAAATTTATTAAAAGAAAAAAACTTTATAAAATATTAAAATTTTAGATAAAGTTAATAAAAAATAAATAAATTTTAAAATTTTAAAATAAAATATTAAAAAATATATTAATTTAATATATTATAAAAAAGTTTATAAAATTATAAAATAAATATTTTCTCTAAATATTATTTAATTAAAATTAATTTTTAAATATATTAAAACTTTATAATATTTTAATATAAATAATTTATATTATATAAAGTTTTAAGTTATATATTTTAAAACTATATATACATATATATATATATAATTAAAATAATTAGTTTTATATAATTAAATTAATAAGTTATATTTAAAATATAAATTAAAAAATTTTAAAATTTTTTATTATTTATAATTTTATATTAATAGTAAAAAAATATATATAAATATATAAAAATTATAATAAATTAAATAATTTTATATATTTATATTTTTTAATAATTATAAAAAAAATAAAATAAAACATTTTTTAAGATAAAATTTTAAAATTATATATTTTAATTTATTTTTTAAAAATTAATTTTATAAAATAATTAAATTTTAATTTAATTAATAAATATTATAGTATATATTATATATATATTAAATAAAAAAATTATAATAATTATTATTATTATTATTATTATTATTATTTATTTAAAATATATTTAATCAATAGTTATAATATTTATTTAGTTAAACTAATATAATTATTTATTTATTAAATCAATTTTATTTAAATTATTTATACTTATTAAAAAAATTTAATATATCAATCACTGTTACTAAAATAACTTTTAATTAAAAAATTAGATATTTATTAATTATTAAAGTTTATAAAGCTTAGTAAATTATAATTATTAGATTAAAATTATTTTTAAGTTATAATATTCTTTATTTTTCTATGATCTATAGATTATACAATTAAACTATAGATACAAATATTTAATTAAATAATTAAAAACTAATCTTTATAGAAAAAAATTTTTTAATTCAATAAATAATTTTTATAAAAAAGAAAATAATCTTTTTAAATTATAATTATATAAGAAATAACTAATCTACTATTTAAAAAATATAACTTTAATACTTCAACTATTGTAGAAAAATATTATTAATAAATTTATATAATAATATTCTAAATTAAAAACAAAGTTTTTATATAAATATAACTATTAGTGAACTTAATATAAGAATTTAAAGATTCTATATAAATAATTTTTTTTGATAAATTATATAATAAAAAAGGTATAAAATTATACTGAAGAGTATTTATAAGTTTAATAAGATTGACTTTATAATAAAAATTATTTCAATAATCAGAGTGATTACTAAAGTTAAAAAAGATAATAAATCATCTTTTATACAGTTAAAAAATAGTAAATAAACAACTATTATTGAAGTAGTTAATGCTATAAACTAAGTTTTATCTATAATAATTTTATTAAAAAGTAAGTATAATCAATTTTTATTAATATGAATAACTATTAAAGAATTAAATAATTAATATTAGTGAAAAGAGTTAAATTAAACATAAATTTAATTTAATATAATTATAAAAAATATTTAACAGATTTACTAAAACTTATATAATTGATAAAAAAAGATTATTAATTCTAAATAAATATAATAATTATATCATAGTTAAATTTAATAAATCCTATCTAAAATATAGCATCATAGCATTATATATATTTTATTACTTTTCTCATCTGCTGCAGTTACTAGATATAACTTATTTTTCACTATTGCAGAAAATATATAATAAAAAGATAAAATAAAGTATATAACTAGAAATTAATTATATAAATAAAAAGAAATTTCTAGTTAGATATATAGTAGTTAGACAAAGAATTATAATAAATACTACTATAAAAAATGAATTCAAAGTTACAGATTTAGTATTATATAATTCAGATAAAATTTTTACTTAACTATATATTTAATTTTATATATTTTTTTCTCAAAGTCAGTATATAAATCTCAACTTTTCTAGACTTTTAAATACTATATAATGTGACTTAGTTGAAGCTGCAGAGCAATATAATTAAATATCATATGAAGATTTTTTCTAGTTCTATCAATCAAATTTATGATTAACTAGTGAAAAAATATTAGCTGATTATACATAATGCTACTATATTAACAAAGAAAAATATAGAGCTAAGAGCTATCAATATTAAATAAAAGTAAAAGAGAAAAGAAATCATATTTTTATATAGTTAAAAAATAAATTTTAATAGTTTAAGATATATTAACTAAAATTATTAAATATTAAAAGTTTATTTAATATATGAAGAAAAAAATTAAAAATTTAAACTTAAAAATTAAAAATTTAAGACTCTCAATCTGCAGTAAATATAATATATTTGAATATAATATCAAATAGTATTAATAAATCTAAGTATCTATTTTATATAATTTCATTTTAAAAATTCTTATAATTATTATTTAGAAATTTTATCAAATAGAATAATAAGAGTAATCTGATAGATGATATGATTCAGTAAATAATTAATTATATTTAAATTTAACTATTTTACTAATATAATCAGAAAATAGTACTTAAATTATATAATTATTATAGAGTTTTAAGTTATAGTATTGTTGCTAATAGTATAAGATAAGATTGATCTACTTTGATTCTCAATCATTAATTACTTAGATTGAAATACTTTAATTCTCAAGTATCTATATATATCAGACTGCTTATTTTATTTTTATATTCTAATTCTCAATTTAGTATTCTCACTACAGCTATCTAGTAAATAGATGAATTGAGCTTTTATTTTATTATCATCATATCTTTAGATTGAGCTATGATATTTTATTTCAGAATAATACATAGTATTTAACAATCTTTTAACAAAACATACACTTATAGTTTTAATTTTAATTCAATTTTTTTATTATTTTGAATAAAATAGATAACTTCTTATGATATATTTGCTAATTTTGTTCTTTTAAATTGATAACTTTATTTCATCTTGCTATTATGTAGAACTTTATATCATTATTTCTATTTGAAAAATAGCGGAACAAAATTTTAATTAGAGAAGGTGAGAGAAATATTAAGTGTAAATCATATGGCAATTTATAGAACCTGTAGACTCTGTTTTGATATCATGCTTTAAATGTGTATATCCAGATCAACTACTCCCTTCATAAAATGTATATGCTCTCCAGAGCAAGTACCTCATTTTTTAAGCACTTCTAGCAATTATCATAGACTTTAAGTTGTCTTTAGCTCAAGTAGACTATTTGATAAGCTGTGGTTAAATTCTCATAGAATCTATCACGCACTGCAAGCTAGTAGAACTTACTATTTCAGATATGAGAATGGAAAGCTGAGTGCAAAAACTACTAGCTGAACTCAAAAAAGAGAGACAACTATAATAGAAGGAGAGATGACTCTAAAAGAAAAAGAGAATATTGCAGAAAATTACTGAAATACAGATAGAAAAGAAAAAACAGCTTTAACAGAAAAAGCGGTAACAATGCAAAGAAGTGAAAGCAAGTTTAAATACATTTTTACATATCATATTAGAGATATTTTTATTAATGAGCAAATGATGATATGAGAGAGACTCAATAATAATCTGTCATTTTTGACTAAAAAACTGTTTCTGTTGAAATATTAGCTTGAGTATATTTACCAGCTCATCATCTCAATTACCTCAGAATGAAATCTCTAATACTACAAATAAGATATTATGGGAAATTAGATTTATATCATAGTCAACTAAATCATAGAAAATAAAATTTTTAAATAAACACTTAAACTGTGAGATTCTATCATCTTTAAAAGTTATATAAATCTAGAGTATTCATATGAGAATTTACTTAGTGAAGGAGTTAGGTCAATATCTATTGACTTTGCAACAGAAATCAGATCATCAGTCAAAGGTAATGACAAAAGTTAGAAGAGAAAGAAAAAGTTTACTTTGACTATACAAAAGTAAATAAATTAATTCTGTATCTATCAATAGAAAAATAATGAACACATCTGTGTGATTATAATTGAATATAAGATATCTCATAAACTCATACAGACTGAGATAGCCACAAAACTGATCAAAGAGATCTATTTCATTTAGAATATTATTGATCAAAATTTCAGTTATATTGAATTCTACTATAGATAACTCATTGCTATGATCACAACTCAGCTCTTTTTTTACATGATCTGCAAAGAGATATGTTATAGCTATATATGCACAAGAGAAGTCTTTATTTTTATTTACATCTCAGATAACTCATCTTCAGTTCAGTGTACATGTGCTTTGCAGATCAGATCTAAATGTCAAAATGACTAACAAGAATAAGCTACAGTTGACAGCTATCATGCAGGTTTTAGTATTTATGATCAGAGCATTAGCCTCATCAGCAATATTTCAGAATGATATGATGATGCTGTAAGGCTTGATATTTGATTAGTGAAGTATTCTGAGATACTAAAGCAGACTTTATCTGCTGCTCACTTAGAAAATACATTCTCTCTCTACTGTGACAGATGATCTTATAATTTTTCTCTTTTCAAAATGATACTGTGATTCAAATACTGATTCTCTGAAGATAAATACTGATTACTAAGCTCTTACTCATTGTCTTCTTCTCTATCTCCTTCTCTTACCCTATCACAATCTGACATTTATACTTGAATATAAAGGGGAGAGTTTGGTTTAGCTGCAAAGTCGCAAGGTGCGATATGAGAAAGTTAGTCGCACCTGGCGGATACCCAATGCCATTGAAACACCAGTCATCAAAGCCCACTCATACTGCTCTCAGCAATGTTTTCTTACACTCAGAAATAGTAGCCCTTTTAATTCATTATGCTCTAACTACCAGAATTATCAGAAGTTTTAGATTCATATATATGGCTTTCATACTTATATCTGAAAGCAGCTTGCTATGGATCATGGCCTGGACACTGATTGCTATCCTCTCTACAAGGCAAGTAGTTATGATGCACTGTTCAAAGTCCAGCTCTCATCACATGGATATACTATAGTCGCTAAAGGTATGAAATACAAGCATGTGTATAAGCTTGAACATGAAAAGCAGATCTACAATCAACTCTAAAACCTCTAGAGTGAATGTATTCCAGTTTGTCTAGGTGTTGTATAGCTGGCGTCAAAGTATTTCTATTACTATGATGGTAGAATTTACGCCTACATGTTATTTTTGAGCTGAGGGGAAGAAGTGATTCAAAAAGCCAGCATACTCAGCTCTACTGCAGATGCATCCTTTATGGTACACTGTGCTTTTGAGGCTATTCACTCAAAAGAAATTCTTCATGGCAATGCAGAGCTGTGAAATATACTTTAAAACTTGATTTATCAACATGTAATAGTTGATTTTGAATGAGCCACTTTATAGAAGACTCTGTCAGATATGTCTACTAACTCAGCAAGAGAGAGAAGGAGACTGATGAAGACTTATTTCAGTAAAGAACTTTAATAAATTAAAAGTATATTTGAGAATAATGTTGTATAGTATAGAACATCTTATAACTTCAGTAATTCTTCTTAATATATTATGAGCTCATTTGATTATTTATTTATGACTTTTTTTTTTAAAGAAATTTTTGAGTTGATTGTTTATCTATTATCTCTTTTATAAACAGGTTTTAGTTCTGAGTAGTATAATTAAAATTCTCTATATTCAGAACTGAGCTCTTTGTTTATTTGTAATAAAAACATCTAGATTCAATATCTCATTGAAAGGGAAAGAAAAGAAAGAAAAGCATCAGAATTGAGTCATGAAAATATCACTTAGAAAAGATAGTCAGAGTTTGAAATTGAAAATTGATATAAGAGCTATCTCTTATCCACTATCTCTTCCTCTTTTCAATTATTGTAAAGGTATAAATTAAATTGCACTTAGATCTATTGAACATTACATTTTATAAAGAATTATCAACACTGAAACAGCAATGATCAATGAGAAATGAGAAGAAAATTGGATAATCAGTAAAGAAGTGAGCTAGATCAAAACTTTCTACATGTAAATAAACATGATTCAGATTGAATTCACAATCTAGAGTAGTTGACACTGAATAATTAACACAGAAAAAATTTCTTGTTCTCTAATTATATTAATAGCTTTTAATTCTATGCATATTTATTTTAATAAATTATATAAATAAGTTTTCTGCATTGAACTGTACAGCTCATTTTCATCCTCTTCAATTAACAGTTGAAGATTAATAGCTCAGCTACTTTAGAGATTTATTGACTCTGTCTCATTGCTTATAATTTCACGAAAAATTAGAGTGAGAAAAGTATAATTCAATAACTGTTGAATATCTAAAGTGATTGTATTGATAGTCTATCTTAGAGATACTATATATTATTATATAATACACTAGTTTATAATAGAAAGTTTAGACTTCAACATCTTCTCTTGAACTAGCTACTGTACAGACTAGCTATCATACAGACTAGCTACTGTTCTGCTCAAATCAATCATATTCATCTTCTCTATCAATTTATCTTATTTTTCAATTACTGTATTCATCAAATTCTTTTCTTATTTGACTTATAATGTGACTGACTTCTTAAAAGTTCTTTAATATTTGAAGAAATTATTGTAAAGAATGCTTGACTTAACTGATTTACAAGTAAATTCTCTATATTTTTATCTTTACTCTTATCTTTATTCTTAGTTTTATTTCTATCTCTATTTTTTAATATCTTAATATATTTTTTATTATACTTTTGTCATTTAGTGCTTGTGAGATATGAGTTTTTGAATTAGTAGTGTTTAATTATATACTTTATATTCTCATAATAGTGATATTAACATTCATTAAATTATTCAGTAATGACATTTACAGCAGATGAGTTGAGATGAGTTGTAGTGATAGTGATATAAATAATTAACTAACTAATCAATTTATCAGAATTCAAATTTTGAATAGAGTTTTACTTAATGATATAAAAATCATTCAGCTTCATTTTAATAAATTCTTATTGTCAGTCTTTTAGTTCTAATATGAATATATCATAATAGATATTCTCAGTTTAATTTTCATCTATAAATATAAATTTTATCTTTAAATCTTGAAAAATTACAAGATAGATGTGAAAATTATTATTTTTGAACTATAAATCTCTTAATTTTTTAATAATTTGAAGACATTCTTCTGCATAAAATATAATATAGTTCTAAGCAAGATTCTTTCATAAAATTACTGCTAGATAGAAATTTTCATTCAGTAATTTTAAGAAATCACATATATTTACATTCAAAAATTAAAAGATTCTTATATAAAGAAGTTTATTTTTTTTATTTCAAAGCTCAATTTTCAGAGAAACTGTGATAAAAGATGCTGTTTGTTATTTATTGAAAATATTTTTTATTTGAATCAAATGAGTATTTGCAAAAATAGAGCTTTTTTATTTTAGATAGTTGATTTTAGTGAGAATGACTATATGCTTTTCTTTTAATTTAATCTTTGCATCTTTACAAATTTCATCAACTTTATTTTTGATAAGATTTTTAGTAGTATTTGACAAAAAATCTGAGTTTTTCTCTAATCTTTATATAAGTTTTTTTATTTGTCTGTTCTGTCTTTTCATGTATTTTATCATCATTCACATCATATTTATATTGCTTTCATTTATATTTATTTTATCTTTTTGATTAGTTTCTTCTTTAGACTCAGAGATAGATATATTGTATTCATGTTCATCTTTATTCATGTTGTTGTTTGCAGAGGTATTTAATGATTCTGCAGCTCATGTTCTTGAAGACATCTGTTTATCTCTTCTTAATTCAATTTGTTTTCTGCAATCAAAGCTTTCAAAACAGTTATTTTTTGTCAGATTTTTACTGCAATTTAGCAATGCAGTTCTCATGAGATGTTTTATATCTCAGATTAAAGAAAAAGAAGAAATAGAGTGCAGAAGTAGTGTGAAAGACTCTTCAAAAAGAAAAACAAGCTATCCAGGTCATAACCTGTTGCATCTGAAGTGGTTGTATTGGTAGCCCATCTCAGGGATGCTATATACTATTGTGTGGTGCGCTAGTCCATAATAGGAAGCCTAGGCTCCAACAGTAACTTCTCCTTCTGAAGGAGTTAGTGTTGATTATATCACGTGAACTGGAATTTTCATTGACGCGCGTGGAAGGATTTTATCTCCTGCTGATACTTATTGCAGTAGGTTTGGCCCATTCCTCCTCAATCAAAACCATGTGTTGTCAGCTAAATCATGGTAGTAGTACTATTTATTTGCAAGTTTGTGGCGGTTATCAAAATAGAATTCGTCTCGCGGCTGCTATTCCTGAGATATCCCATTTATGGGGTGCAGTGAGATCCATCCATTTCTGCCAATCACCCGTCCGGCAAGCAGGCCTCATGATCTGTGCATACTCCCAGTAATCAGGGTACCAGCCGGCATACTCCCAGTCGAGGATGCCAGTAATGCGATAATGGTCATCAACCATGATGTTCCGTGGGGCAATGTCAGCGTGTGTAAAAACTGTACAGGATGATCGAGGGAGCATGTCTGGTAGCTCATTTTTATATCGCAGACCACCAAAATGAAGGTAACGGTGGTATATTCGGGCTCTGACATCTTCATCTGTGTATAAAGGGGTTCCACAGCGGTCCAAGTCTTCAATTAGAGGGTCGAGAGTTGGTGAGCCGTCGGCAAGACACTGGAAGAACTGTTTTAAGGCAGGTGGTTGTGGGATTTCTCGGAGTTTGGCAATTTGATCCCATGTCTCATGGCATATAGACTTTTTTGATTCGCTGTTCAACTTATCCCATAGGCTTTCTAGTGTGGTGCCTGGAATAGTTGTCATCCCAATCTCACCACTGGAATCACTCATGAGGCTGTAAATAACTTCAGGAAGAGGGACGGAGGTGTGCTTTGCTACCAGCTTCATAGCTTCAACCTCAAAGCGCCTTACAGCCGTTCCGCCCTTGGAAACATAAGAATAATCTCGCTCAAGAACTAACCGACCGCCTTGCTTGCTTAGAACAGTAATCACATCTCCCTCTAATGGCGGTCCTTTCTTTGCATCAGGTGTAATTCTGAAGAGTGTTTTATCCAGCTTGAGATAAGTCTCGCCCACACGGAGATTTTCATATGCAAATGGAACGCCATCCTCAAGGTTGTGTGTGCTTTCTGATTTGGACACTATTAGGGCTTGGGTTGAGGCGTTGGACGCCATGGTTTCGGGTACTCAGGCTTGGTTTCCGCAGATGTGGAAAGAGAATTATCTCTCGTCGCATACTTTTAAAACATTTGACGTCCATCAACGAATATGTTGCGAGCAACCAGGCTCGAGACGTTCGGAATATTTGTTTTCCCGTCCCAGCCAACCACCAGCCTTAGCGCCTCCCCAGCTGGGTTCGTGCGACGCAGTTCATCCATGCGATGCAAGTCAGAAATGGTGGAAATCCATTCCACCAAGAAAGTGCTCTTGATTGACCCATGACTCACTGTAATGAAACGTGCAGGGGCTCTGGCACCTACCTACTGATGCTGAGGTACGGACCAGTAGCCTACTCAATGCTCCCTCCTCACAGATGGCAAGAGCACACAGATCGGCGGCTTTCAAACTCATTGGCTGCGAACGGCATATTCTGAAATGAGTTGGGGGCGCCTACCCCGTAACCTCCGTGTTATTGTCAATCCTGCCACGATGATGAGCGGAGGAATACAGATATAAAAGGACCGAGAATGGCCTCCGATTTACTATCCCTTCGCAGGTGCAAAAGTTCCGATGTTTGTCTTAAAAGATTACACAGATATATCTCCAAGCCTTTGAAATATTTCCTCAAAGTTTGTGGCCCTTTAACGCATCCATATCATGAATATTTGTGTCTTAGTGCTAATGCTTTAGTAGATGAGTAACTATCCACCCCCAGGCACTCCTTTCAAGTCTGTCGGCTTTTCTGAATATTGTGTGTTCAACGGCTGTGAGTTCAGGCGCAAAAGGGGGACACAACAATGGATTGAATCCAAGGAACTTGAAGACAACTTGCCTACACTAGACCATGCACTACACCTCTCACTTATCCAGCAGAATCAAGCTGATGACGAACCCCAGCATTGGTCACTCTTTGTCGCCCGTGAAAACGAGCCCGGCCCAGTTTACCAAGTCAAAGGAGATGCTGAATGTATGAGTTATCAACCTTCACCCGGTCCAATCAACATCCTCCAGTCGTTGTCTTTCTCAAATGCATACAACCTTGCTGCCATCACAGACGCCCAGGCGCTCATTGTAAAACAGGTGGCTGAGAATGAACCCCCTCCAACAGCAGTAAATCGACAGGCTGTTGTGGAAAATTGTCAAGGCTGGACCATCCGAGTGATTGCTAAACTTGTGGCCAGATGTATTGTGGACAGTGCTAAGCTTGAGATGGCTAGGTCCATGGTTCAACCAATCTGAGGATGCTGATGAGAGATCCCTATTTCTATTGTGGTGATTCTGGGGTTTGTCTTCATCCATGGGGTTAGGGGTTGATTGTTGTATTGCAAGTATCTGTGAGCCTCTTTTTCAGGTCAGAACATGATTGGAGTTGTGGAGCAAATGTATTAAGTTCCTTTTAGACACCATGCAATCATCCCATTAGTGTCTGGAGGGTGAATCAATGGTCGATATTGTCAGATATAGAGTACAAGAAATGTGTGCCTCACTGTGGTCTTTTGGTATCTGATGACCTGGTCGAGGCACTCCGGGTTTAAAGGTCTCCAATTGAACTCAGTGGTGATCCAGATATTCAGAGCTGCACGGCATATTAACTTGGTCAACATTTAGCCAGCTACCTCATTTCCAGATCCTGAAAATATAAAATAGAAATACTCACTGTGCCTATGCCATCCTGAAACAAAATCTGGCTATCATCTCACGAATCGTAGGTCCAACGCCGGGTGAAAGGGAACATGACAATCGCCGGACAGGTGATCTCCTGAAAAGGCTGTTGATAACGTAGCGGCATGGATGGCGAATATCAGGAGTGAAAGGAAGAAGGGTGGAGTTTAAAAAGGCACACTTTGACCACCTGAAGAAGCTCTTCCTTCAACGAGATGTAACTTCCACAAACTTCAAATATGTATCTACCACCATCTCGGTCAAGCATGTTCTGCTAGTGTTCTCTAGATTGTGTTGTCTTCTTGTCAAGTTGTTCTTACTCTGTCCATGTATTTGACCATCTAAAGATTGCACTCGCCAAGCATAAGGCAAAGAAAGGAAGTTTGATTCCTGTTCCTTGGATTGGCTACTTCTCATGGCGCATCGTGGGCGCATCGTGGCCCTTCTTGTATTTTGATGGCGGTGTCAAACCCATGCGCAGTGGCCTTCACACTTTTTCAATGAGGAATAGAATATTTTACATAGCAAGATGAGGAAAGATTCCCCATATCATTTGTACAAAAAGGCAACGATGGAGTATCATTAGACATTTATCCAATACAAAGATGAGACGAGAAGAAGTTGATTCAATATAGAAACAGGTTGCTACTAAAATATAAACCGCGCCTTCTTGGAACGGTTCCTCAAGGGTGGTCTCCCACCCGCTTAAGGGATCCGTGACTGATGCGTACGAGCAATCGAATAGATAGGATAAATCATGTCTGATTCTCTTCTAATAAGATGGGCAGATGCCCTGCTATATATACACACTATAATCACTCTATATGGTAGGAGTGATTGCATAGAATATGAAATATAGAAAAGATTGAGGCCTCTGAGTGAATTAGAGAGGGGAGGAGCAAATAGAGAGTGGATACTAATATAGAAAGAGGTGGAAGAATAGAGGCGGAATGCCACAGTGACTCTCTACCTTCCCCGATTTAGCGTGGAACTTGTGGACCAAACTCCTCACATCCCAGGATCAGATCATGTTCAGGTTGCCAAGAAGGGTCGTAGCCTCGCCATTTCACCAAGTACCAGCTAAATCTCAAAAGTTTATTTAATATATAAAAAAGAAATTGAAAATTTGAATTTAAAAATTTTAAAATAAAGACTATTAATCTGCAGTAAGTATAATGTATTTAAATATAATATTAAATAATATTAATAGATTTAAATAGCTATTTTATAGAATTTTTATATAGAATTTTTTGTATATTATTTAATTTAAAATTTATCAAATAAAATAATAAAAGTGATTTAATAAATGATATAATTCAATAAATAAATAATTATATTATTTAATAAATTTTTAAATTAAAAATAATCATAAGAAATTATATATAAAAATTCTATAAAATAAATGATTAAATTTATTAATACTATTTAATATTATATTTAGATATTATAGTTACTGATTAAATACATCTTATAAGAAGAAGAATAATAATAATATTATATTCAGAGATTTTATATTTTTTGTCCTTTAGAAATCTTTATTTTTTAATTTTAAAATTTAAAAATTTAATAGTTTTAATTAATATATTTTAAGCTAATAAAATTTCTTTAACTATATAAAAAAAATTTATTTTTTATTTTTATATGATATCAACGGTTCTTATCTTTTTATTTTTCTTTATTAATATAATAGTACTATATATAATTAGCTGATATCTCTTTTCTATTCTCTGTTAGGCTCAGCGCCCGGTTAGACTCGACGTCGGATTAAGCTCGGCGCCCGATTAGGCCTAATCCTCATCACGTGACCGCGCGACCATGCGGGTTGTTATAATCCAGGCAGCCCCTTTCATCCCATCAAGCTTAGTATTCCGTTATAGCAGTTAGCAACGCAGAGAGTTTCCTTATGCAGCTCGCATTCGCACCCTAACAATAACTGTAATAAGAATGCTAACAATAAGAATATTAAACTGAGAATTAAAATATGAAATAAGCAAGTAATTAAATATAAAGAGATAATTGAAAATCTGAATAAATCAATTTTCAGAATATAATAAATCAATTTCAATTTATATTAAAAGTAACTGCACTGTAATAGCAACAGTATATTTAAATAAAAATTTACTCAGTTTTATAGATATTAATAATTAATAAAAATATTTCTTTTTTACTAAAATCTTGATCTTTTGATTTAAAGTATATTGAATAATTTGATGAATATGAGTAATTTGAAATAAGAAGTTATTTACTTAATATTCTTATCCAATTAGTAATCAATTATATCAAAGATAAGATAATATATTTACTTTTAAAAATAGAGATGTAGCAGTAGTACTGCAAAGAGATAGTTTCTATGATATAAAAAATAATAATATCAAGAAAATATTCTAGCAAGATTTTGTGATTATGACATTTACTATAATTTTTATCTGAAATTGTGGCACTATATATGTAAAGTAAGAGTAGGCTTATGGCTAGTTTAACTGATGAAACTGAAGGTATTATTAAGGTGTCATCTAATGTGGGCCAGATGACGTGCCAGATTTTTAAAAATTGTCTCATTGAATTTGAGATACCTTCTATAAGATTTGAACCCACGGCCCTTGGTTTCCCAGCCGCCGGGGGTCGAGCTTTATATAAACTGCCTGATTTCAATTTGACAAGTAGTTTTAATAAGCTTTTATAACAAAATATGTTCAAAGTACCAATTTGACTATGTTATTTTAGCGATAATCTTATATCAAAACTTAGAAAGAAATTGGTGAATTGATTTTAAAAAACAATGTAAAGCATCTTATTAAGCTGCGGAGTTTTCAGCAAAGAGTTGAAAAGTACGCAAATCTTCTCAAATATTAATGACAGTGTAACCTTTGTTGATGTCACATTTGAGAAAGGAGGCTAGTTTGCTCCAATTATCTAAAGAGAGTGCTGAGTGAAAAGTTCAGTCATAATCAAAACTTGCAATAAGACATAGTTTGACTAGTTGCTGACGCTCCGCCCTACTGTTCTGTGGTTTTACGGCTAAAGTTCATCCTATTCGGATTGGGTTCAACTAAACGTTCAGCTGCTCTTGCCAACATGACTGCCAAGCTGCGGCGTATGCTCAGCTAGCTAGCGTACACCGTAAGGTCCTTATTTCATATAAGAGGTGTATCCCCACCAAAGAGGTTTAAGAGGGCCCACCTTCAAACGAACCGACCGTAATCAGCCAATCTTTGAATAACAGTTTTTATATTTATTTTAACATCTTAATATTAAAGTATGTCAATCAGAAAGCTTGTTAACTATCAAAAGTGTAATATATGCAACTAAAATTGTGAGATACTAAACCTGCAGTTTGAATTATTTTACCTGTAGATATATTAAAGATGAAAGTAATTCGTATTATGAATTTAAAATACTGCTATTAAAGATTTTCAATTGATTGCTATTGCTACTATAACATTATATTTATATTACATTGCTTTGTGTAACGAGGCGGCGCCAAGACGGGATAGTTATCAACAGCGACGTCACGTCGGGATGGTTATGGGAAGCCGATCAGGGTGGGCTTGATTGTTAAGGAAGCAGACAAGCTTATGCCTACGAATAGAAGAGGTAACTAAGATTCAAGGGTACAAGTAATTAGTTATATAGAGAATTGTATGCGTCTTCCAGATATATTGAGAATGAATCACTGACCCTCTTGAACAATGGGTCAGATAGCTATCTATCTATATAGAGCTTCTATCAAACTTCCATTCTTCATGGTATGTGACAAGATGCCGTCCTGCCTGATTAGAGGGGTAAGGGTGCCTTCTAGATGTGATTCTCATGCAGTGATGATCTATATAATCACATCGTATAAAGGCGGGAAAGTATGAATATCACGTATGAGGCAGCGGTGCCAAGAAGGCGTTTTGGCAAGGTCCCAATGACACTTCGTATTTTCTATATTATTTTCTATATTTTATTAAATGTTTTGTTTCTTTATTTAGTAGTTTAACTTTTGCTATTTTTTCTTATTTTTTAATCTTTTATTATTTCCTTGATTTAATAATAACAAATTGAAAGAAAAGGAAAAAGAAAAAACTGATTTATATGATAATTGAAGTTAAAATAATACCAATTTCTGAGCTGAAAACCATATATTGCAAGTTATATACTTAAAATAATTATAAACATTATTATCAGATAGTATATTCTGATTTTTAAATTAAATAAATGTCATAGTCAGTAATTGCAAACACTCTAATTGAATAATAATATTATTATTATATAAAGTGAAATTTTAATTAATATTATAAAAAAAATTAATGAAAGAAGTTCTTCTGTAACGGGCTAGCCGCTGAGAACAGCTAATAGCTATCGCGTGTAAAGAGACAGAAAGGGAGGGAAGAGGAAGATGGATCATGTAGAGGATTGGGCTTCCTTATAAAGGGGCGGCAAGAAGAAGATTGAACTAGCGCCTTGGTAATAGGGGGATAGGATGGGGGTTATACGGACAGTGGCGCCGCCTCAATAGCGCGAAGGCGTAGCCTGAGTATCATGGGGGTTAGGGCATACATAGTCTTTTTTATCTTCTATATTTTTTATTATATTAAAGTTTGAACTGATATTAATAATTAATATATTTTTCTTTCAAAAGTTGATATTGTAAGGAGATGACGCCGAGACGGCGAGTCAACAGTGCCGTCGCGTGGGTTGTTTGATGGGAAGCCGAATGGGTAGGTTTGACTAGCTAAGGGAACAGACGAGCCTATGTTTTAGGACTGAAGGGAAATCTAAGCGATCAAGGAGACAGATGATCAGATAGAGATATGTATACGTCTTCAATGAATCTGATATATTAAGAACGAATCGCTGACCCTCTAAACAGTGATAGCTAGCCATAGGGTTTTCATAAGCCTTCCCTCCTTCATGAATGCGCTCGGATACCACTCTATCTGATCAAGAAAGTGGCGTTGTCTTTCATAAAGATGATCATAGAGATGATCATCCCGTCGTCATTCATATGATAGTCACCTCGTCATTCCATACAAGGCAAGATAATCATCTCATACAAAGGAAAGATGGTCACCTCGTCATCTCATACAAAGGTGGGACAGTCATCTCGTCATCAGGGTAATGTGAATATCCTTATTGGAGTAGTGACGGCGCTATAGAGAGATAGTTTCCAAGATGTAGGAGATATCAGTGCCAAGGAGATGTCTTTGACTAGAATGATCGTGATATAAGACGTAGGAGATATCAGTGCCAAGAAGATGTTCTTTGGCTATATCTCGTGATCGTGATAGATAAATTTAAAATTTTTAAATATTTATCTTCTAATAGATAAAGATTAAATTAAAATATAAAAGCTTTTATTGAAAAGTAATTAATTTATAAGTATAATCTACAAAGTTAGTATCATTAAAGGAAGAGAAGAAAAAGAAAATAACTATACAAAAGAAAAAATTTCATATATAATTAAGCTCAGAATAAAACAATAAAAAAAGTGAAAATTAAATCTAAAGCAGAATAATAAAAGCTCTGATAAAAAGTATACAAAACTAATAATATAATCTTTCACATGAAATAATTTTTTATTCTTAAAAGAATATATATTCTAATCACATTGTTAATTCTATTTTTTTATATTTAAAAAATTAAATATATTAATTGCTTTCAAACCCAATAATAGACTTCAATTAGGGAATAATCAATATATATATATATATTTATAGTTACGGATTGTTTGCTTCCACCTCATGCTAAACTAGTTATGACTTACGTCTTCTAAATTACATATAAAAATCACTATTCTAACATGGGTGTGGTTAGCAATTATGGATTCAGATGAAATTAAGCAAAAATAAACTACAGCTAGTTTGTGATGTTTCTGGCAGTTCGCCGGCTGCTGTTTGACACATCTCTGTCAGTAGTTAAATACCCCAGGCAGCTACACCATCACTACAAATCACTTAGTCAAGGTCTTCGGATTTCCAGCAGGTTTGATCAGCTTCAATCTCCCAGGTAAAATAGGATTCTGATTCAATGGGTCGTTTGGCTGTTTCGGGCTATCCGGGCTCATATCCGATGGACGGTTCGGGTTCAAAGATCGTTTTAGTGGAAGCGAACTAGTTAGAGAGTTAGTTACCACTAATTTGGCAGCAATCGGTAAAATAAATAACTGGCTTGATTCTTCCTCGAGTCTACAGCCAGATTTGATCCTACATAACTATTATATGGTCAAATCCTACTAACAGTTGCTGATCTGGTCAATGGGAATGATCCATTTAACCGTAAAAGCGAAGAAGAAAACACCATTCCTTTACAATCCTCACAATAAGTAGGGAAAATGGCTCATAGACCCTCAAAAAATCCCGCACGGTTAGGCGGCCCCATGAGACCAACCGAATTTGACAAGACGCTAAAGCGCCCTCCAAAGTTCCTTGCTTTTCTTTGTTCAACTCTACCTAGCTCAGCTCAAATCTTTCATATCCACCCTCTTCTCCTATATCCTTCTATCTCGAATTTCCAGTGCAGTCACTGCTTGCATTTGTTTGTATTTCTCATTGGAGCTAGTTTAAACCGCCGCCAGGTACTGAGTAATGACTAATAACTAATAACTAATGTTGGATGCCATAGCGATCTCCCAGCAATACCAGATAGCTCTAACTCTCCCAAAAGTCCCATGGTACCGAAAGATGATCACACCCTGCGATGACTCGACAATCCTCCAAACGACTTCAGAATAGCCGCTCATCTTCTGATGTCCGAAATCCGGGATATGAAATATCTTTTCTAAATTCGACTCTGAAAAAATTTTTAGGTGGAAAGCAAAAGCCATGGATGCTGAACCCCAATTCAGTCGCGACAACGAAATCCTCTTCTTCAGCCGCTACAAGACAACCAAACCCTACTTCAACTGTCCCGCGTCCTAGCCCTATCCAACGTAGAGACAGTGAGAAGGCCCCTCAGAAATCTTCAATAACGGGAGAGGAACGGGAACCCATCCTGAACACCGTAATCTCCCAGAACACCCCGAACATACCAGGCCAAGCCGCATCTATCAATTTCACACCATCATCAGAGCAGCTGCCGATTTCCCCTGTCTCCTTCCAACCGGGCCCCAAGTCGCTATCTGCTTCGCCTCATATTTTAAATTCACAGCTTGCGGACAAAACGAGCGGTGCGCCTACGAATGCTCGCCAAATTCCGGTTATTCCGACCCCGGATTCATGCCATGGAACTTCCGTTGCCAATGAGGCTGCCCCCCTGGGTAACATCTTTGGCTCTGGCTCAGACTCTGAATCTGGTGCTCTTCCGGGAGCTAGTCCTATCCCACCGCTTCAACCGCCACCACGTCCAGCGCGGCAGTTACCAGCAGAAAACCATACAGGAGAGTTGCCGTATACAACAACAACAACAACAACAGGAGCAGCAGCAACAATAACAACCCCCGCTATAGGCTATTCACCACAATTCGTATCATCACAATCACCTGCCATGGTTGCCATGGCAAACAATTCACCCACAGCTGAAGTGCATAGAAATAAACGGGCCCGAACCGCAACAGCAAATTCTCCCCTACTTCAAACTTTTCGACTTCGAAACAGTACGGCTCTGGTGAACGCGGTGCCAACGTCGGATATGATGAACAATTCCCAGCAAGCTAGGCTCGCCGGAAAATTTTCACTTAAGTTTTACAAGCCGCTTCTGGATCGCATTCCAACCACACCAGGCAGGCCTGAGGAAGGTCGGATCGCTCTGTTGCGAAATGCTTGCGAAGCGGAGGATATATTTTACGTTGCCCTACATCAAGTCTATTGCCTTACCACAGCAAGCCCTGTCCGCCTGGCTCTCCCTAAATTTGGAGCTCAACAAATAAGAGGACTTGAGGCTCTCTCCCCACTTCTAATCAAAAATGATTATCTCTCAAAAACGTTTATCCACTCATGTGCCCATTTCCCGGCTCTCATTGGCGACTTGACTCAAAACTGCTCAGCCTACAGTAAGACTTTGGATTGTGTGATGGATTTGTTAGCAGGACTAGCCGATTGCTGGGCCCAATTCGAAAGGACTATTATTTTGAGGGGATATCCCCCGCTCATCGACGAGTTTCGCTCTCTCGGTGTACTCTCCTCGCCCACTTTGCAACATGTTATATTCGTTGCCAGTTGTCGCCACTTAACAGGAAATCGAAATGATAGAGCTCTTAGGATCTACCTCAGCATCTTTCAAAAAAATCAGGAGTTTTATCGCCAGCGGATCCAACGAATGCTCACTGCGAATCCAGTATCTGCAGCCCAAGTGCGAACTGAAAACGAATATCTAGTCGGAATGTATACGAAACTACGAAGGCAGCATCTTGGAATAAACCGGGCACTACACAACCAACAGATGGGTAGCCAGCAACCTCACCAGAATCAAGGAATCCATTTTACTCCCACGTCTGGTCCCAACGGCCAACATCAACATCAGCCCTTCATGACCCAAGGATCTCTCCCGCCTTCAGCAGGGGCACATCATCAAATACAGTCCACTTTTCCAACACACTCACCGAACACTACTCAGAACCCACTTCAACAACCCCAAGGATACGCATTTGGACCTTCTATGAGCGAAATTATTACAGCTCCGCATACACTTACGCCTGCACCTGCAGCCGCACAGGTACAATCGCATGCAGCCCCCGGAAGATCTGGTGTTCAGCTCGCTTCCAACCCGATGTCCGGGCTTCCACCTGGATGTGTAGCTCAGTTAAATAATAAGAATGCACCTTTGCATTGTGATTCCCTTGTTCCTCCATCTGTTCAATTACCCCACGAAAACCGCGTCAATATCCAGCCTCCTCCCAACAGGCGAAATCACCTACTTCTTCCTCCACCGGGGTTCGTTCCAATGGAATCTGCAAATCCTAACCCTCTCATCGTTGGCCTCCACCAAGCTCACCTTAAAGACAAATTCCGTGCTCTTAATAATAATAACGAGCCGAGAGCTAGTGGCCCTGAACCGCTATTCCACTATCTTCAATCTTTTGCCATTGCTCCTTCGTCTATTAGAACGAGTACATCAGTTCTCAAGTGGCAGTTTACAATCTCCCCAGAAGAATTCCAGAAATTCCCTGTTCAATTACAAGGTCCAAAGCAAGGATCCCGATTATGGGGGATTGCAGATGGACGTCGAACATATCAGTTGCGCTGTATAAAAAAGATTCCACCCTTCCAAAAGCTACAGGGACATGAATGGGCTATATCAGATACCGCATGGCCCACCGTCATATACATTCACGTGAATGGCACAGAATACTTCGTTCATCGGAAGGTACACAACGGCAAAGATCTCCCTGTCCATATCACACCGTCCCTCAAGGAAGGGGTGAATGAAGTATCGTTAACGATACTCTGGGGCCCTCCGGAGCTTAACAGCAAGTCAGTTTATTGCATGGCAGTGGAAGTGCTCGAATACGCCAAGCTCAGCCGCGTCCGCACATCTATCCAACACCACACCCTCTCCAAATCAATTGAAGGTATCAAGAACCGCCTTACAAGCTCAGATGTAGCCTCCGCCGACGACGACCTCGCCGTTGTAGACGAGCACATCACCATCGACCTAACCGACCCCTTCATGGCGCGAATCTTCGACACCCCTGCCCGCGCCAAGTACTGCTCACATATGGAGTGTTTCGACCTCGAAACATTCCTGACCACACGCTTGACAAGATCCGTCAAGGGCCACGGTATGGCTGAGGACTGGAAGTGTCCGATCTGTGGCAACGATGCACGTCCACAGTCGCTAATTATTGATGATTTCCTGGTCGAGGTGCGCAGGAAGCTCAAGGAGGAGAAGCTGCTAGATGATGTGAAGGCAATACTCGTGCGGCAGGATGGAAGTTGGAAGCGGAGGGTTGAAGGGATTAACGGTCATAGTAATCGATTTAGCAAGTCGCACTCATTGAAGCGGAAACGGGAGTCGTCTGAACGCAGCGAATTAGATACACCCAGTCAACATCAAGCTGGCCAGCAGCTACCTTCTGCACCTGAGATGTCGCAGGATTCAGGTTCCGTCCCGGAAATAATTGAACTTGACTAGTTGATCCTTGACTTTCTCTTTTTCCGTTTCCGGATGACAGTGTTCTTTTCATAGTTTCGTTCCGTTCTTTCAAGTTGGCTTCATGCTTTTACATGTCCGGTCCCGATCCTTGTTTAATGCATATAGCCAACATTAGTTCTCACGGAGAGGCCAAAACAAGATGACCTTTTTCTTTTTTTCTTTCTTTTTTTCTTCACAACCCTCACTGCTCACAAGCGAACGTCAAAATCTGTTTTTACCGCTTTATACCCCCCTAGGAACATATCTGTTAAGTTCTTTTTTCTCTTTTAGATTAATTTTTATTCTTATTGCACCGGGCATTTGCTTCAAAGAAAAGAGCATCTGCGGCTCTCCATGTCAAAGGAATGAGATATGTACATGGATGGCATCAGCAGGTTACATACATATATACAAGATCATTTTTCACACTTCCATCATCCCTGTCTCTTCAGGAGTTGTAGATGTTTCAGATCTCTGAAAATAAATTACTGTCTCTTTTGCAAACAATCCTGCTTCATTTCTGTTGATACTATAGTTTTTACTCAGCACATATTCAATATGGGCTTGTGATATATTCTACATTTCTATATACCTATGTGAGCCATTGCCCTGTACACATGAGAGGTAGAGAAGAAGGATGAAAGGGCTTGGTTTCTTTTGCGCTGGGGTTGATGGATGATGATATTGTTTCTGCTTATATATTTATGCCATAATGACGTAAATGTATTTCAAAAAGCTTTCTATTGCAGGGATATATGCTCCGCAATCTTTGCAAAGTTTCTTTTGTGGTATGATGGGAAGTCAATTGTCGATTTGTATAGTCACTTATCTCTAAGAAGGGTTTACTGGAGAGTAGAATTCATCTGGAGGCTATCCTCTCAGCTGGGCAGAGATGGTAATGACAATGAATTATGGTTGATATAATTATCAATATTCGCTTTAGCTCCCTATGTAGTAAATCTATTAAAATGAAAATGATATATGTAAAGGAAACAAGTGAGAGTGGTAGGTAGAATCTAAATCACAATATACAATGAAAATGGCCCCAGACTTGGAGCCGGTGTGGAGGGAGGACCACTAACACAGTAAGGGAAAAGCAAGGGTTGGAGGGTTTGAGTGTTATGCAATAGTTTCCCGTTAAGAGATAAAGAGGAGCAAGAAAAGAAAAGGGCAGCCTTCCTGCTCAAGTCTTTTTCATCTTTGACCCTTCTTGCCGTCAGACCCCCTTCCGCCTATCCTTAAGCCCATATGATGGGGAATTATGTGACTGGATGAAATGAATGCATTGAATGCAATCTATTCAGGGTGGGCGCTGGCGACGTATGAAGATATATCTGCGTATATCAAGCATGGGCACCAGCAATTGCATCAAGAATCCCATTCATAGTAGATCCCTTCTTTCTGCATCACTTCCTCAAGAAGTTGATGAGCCGCCCCCGGCGGCCCACCCCCGCCTTTAGCAGAAAACTACTTCCTCACCTGCCGAGCATGTTTCACCAAGTTCTCAATAACGCCCTCGAACGCTTCTTTCTCTCCAATCTGCGCATCACGGCGCTTGAGCCAGTATTCCAACACCTCACTGGCGCGCCGAGTCATCTCCTCCAGTCGCGAGATGTGCTGCTTCAGCTCGTCGTCCGTAAAGTTATCCAGAGCCGCATCTGTAGTTGCGCATAGACGGCGGACGGCCAAAAGATCTAATTCTGGAGGTGGTTGGGGCCCACGACGTCGTGGGGCGCGGGTGCGCGATGTAGAGCGGACAGAGTCAAGAGATGTCGAGGAGCGTCCCTGGCCGTCCGCTTTCACTCTGCTGACGGAGGAGGACGGGGCGCCGCCTGTTGCCGTGTTGGAGGGCGATGGGCTGCCCTCGAAATTTATGGAGGGGAGGACGAGCTTTTTTTGTTTTGAGGCGGGAAGTATTTCGTCTAGGTCGACAGGGACCCCCAGGGAGACGAGGAAGAGGCGACGTATGCGAGATTTTATCCAGTTGGGTGGTTGGAGGGGGGGCGGGGCGACGAGTTGGGACCAGAGGGAGAGAGAGCGGTCTGTGATGAAGATGGCGGAAGCGTCTGGGAAGGGTTCGACTGGGGGAAGAGATGAGAGGTTTGCGGAGCTGGGGAATAGGGTGTCGAGATGGTTGGATGTTGCTCCTAGGAGGTCCTGGAGGTTTTTTATGGAGTCGAAGTCTAGGAGGGGGGGCTGCAGTATATGAAAACGGATCAGTTTATAGATTATGTTTAGAAGTGGGTAATAGGATGGAGGTGACCGCATCAACAGATGGATTGTATGTACAGTTGGGATTGCTGTTTATGCTAAAGCTACTACTTACAAAGGAAGGTGGAGGAGGTTGTTGGAGGATGGGATGATTGTCTGTTTGAGTCGCACCCTCATCGATAACCTCCATTGGTCCCTGAAAAGCTGCTTCACCAAAATCACCGAAATCATCATCATCTATGGTTCTATCCCCTTCCTCGAAGTCATCAAAATCATCACCAAAAGGTCGATCGTCAGATCCGTCTCCTGCGGGCTGTTGTGAAGCATCGTTCTCAGAGCTCTGGTTTTCTGCTACGGAGCTTTTCCGCCGGACGTGACTTCGATGTTCGGATCTACTCGATGAAGCGTTTGGAGACCCTGGTTCGGTCAATCGTCCTTCTGAAATCTATTCGTGCCACACCAGGGAAAAGGGGGATGGTAAGCTTACCTAGCACATCCGGCACTGTCACGATGGCATCTGGCATTGCATCACTAGGGTGCCTCTTATGTGCAATAAATGCTCGATGAGGGTGGTCTTCAGGGGGAGATTCAACACGGGAAAGCACCGTTTCTGGAACCGGGGAACCTTCTACCCTCTGCCCTGTTTGGTCGGGTGGCACATTCCAAAGTCGAGGACCTTGGTCACCAACTTTCCATATCATATCCGGAGCAGAATCTGCTTTGTGAGTTTCGTAGGCTGGCGTTCCTGGCTCCTCTCCATAGCTGGGTGAGCTCGGGTCGATTTTCTCGACAACGGTCCGCGGAATCTGAATTGCATCGGGGGTTAAGGTGGCCCTTCCACTTGCACTTGATGATGGTCTGCTGGGTGTGCCCCTGCTGATAATCTCGATCTCGTCTGGGACAGCGTCCAGTTCTCTCTTCTCGTAAGCAGGAGAACCAGGTATCTCCCCATAAGCTGGGACATCGTCTATTCTCTCTACGCGTGTTCTGGGGATGGGCGAGGGAGAACGACTACGAGACCCAGAGTGGGGTACGATGCCTTCAGAAGCATCGGAAAAATGCTCATCTTCGCTCTCTGAGTCTGTAGGATATAAGGTTAGCTGCACACCGCTCCTGAATATAGAATAGATATCATAGTGAGGAATGATACACACGGGATTGTGCTCCGGGGTCTTCCAGCTCAGCCCCTTTCGGCGGTGGCTCCAGCAATATGCTGGGAGGGCGGGAAATCCACTCTGTCATCGAAACGGTGCGGATTTCTCCAGCTCAGCTCAGCTCAGCTCAAATAAACTAGTGCAGCCGTAGAATACCAGGATATTCTCCGTTGGATTCAGATCCCCCGCACCAAGCAGATTGTGTCTGGGAACGAAGTCCCATTTCTGAAGTTATTGGAAGGATTCTGCCAAGGCGGTCTGGAGCCCCAATCGGCCCGGTATCTGTATTGATACCGTTTTGTTGTAGCTGCTGGGCCGACTGCTATTGTGTGTAATCTCGTATGGTACTGTCACCTCCAGATAAAGCTCAGCAAAACATCAACCCACTGAACTTCAGGCGATTTCAATGTCGACGACAGCAAGAAAATCGCCCGATGCTTCATCTCCCAGGGCATAACGTTGGAGCCCTTCTTACTTCTATACATACATCCAGCGCCTATACAGCATCGGCTCTGTTGGCCGCTTAGCCTACCTCAGCTATATCCCACTCGTCCAGTCCCTCTTTTATAAGTATCCATTCACCAGGCTCCAAACACCGTCCAACAAGGGTAGTAGTCCTCCCTAATCAAAATACTAATTTTTGGTTCTTAGCATACGTCCTGTTCTTCTTCGAAGTCCTCGAAGAAACGATAAACTATCTGCGACGATGTCTAGCCCATTTCAATTTGGGACGCCCTCGACATCGGGAGCTTCTAATACTCCAACATTCGGTACCGCGGGCGCATCGCCATTCTCACAAAACGCGTCCGGCAACACTGGTGGTGTCTTCGGAAGTGTTGGAGCAACACCAGCAACGAGTAGCTCTGCCACTCCTTTGTTTGGAGGTTCAACGACCCCTGCAACAGGTCAAACCGGTTCTATGTTTGGTGGCCAGAGCTCTAAACATACGTTCGGCGTAATGTCAGGTACTACCTCTAGCCCTTTCGCGAAGCCCTCGGATCAGGGACAAACTGGTGGACAAACATCGACGACGCCCTTATTCGGGGCTGCAAGCCAGACTCCTAAACCAACGGAACCTGTGTCATCGGGTCAGGCGAAATCTGTATTGTTTGGGGAGCTAGGAAAGAATACACCGTCAACTGGTAGTTTATTTGGAAACGCCACTCCAGCAGCATCAGGTGCAACATCAGTATTTGGCAACATGTCAACTACACCGGCAAAGCCCCCGCCGCAGAGTTCAACGGGATCCAGCCTTTTCGGGAATCAAGGGTCGACAAAGCCAGGGGAGTCTGTACCTCTGTTTGGACAGAAACCCAGTTCTAATCCCTTTGGAGGACAAGGCGCTATCACAGGCACTCTGTCATCAACAAGTGCTTCTACGCCGGCAACAACGACAACGACTCTTTTCCCAAATGCTCCTCAATCACAAACTACAAGTTCAGGGAACTTATTCAACGTCCCCGCTACCAAGGGCCAAAACAGCGAGACCGAGAAATCCGATGCGAAGCCATCCGCTCTCAGCACAGCTGGGACGTCAACCACCCCGCAAACGTCTGGTTCACCATTCTCTGTCCCTAGTACTTCAGGGACCCAATCGCCACAAAAGCAATCGAGCTTTCCTTCATCTAAACCCACGTTTGGTACTTTGACCCCAGCCACGCCAGCAGAGACCGCGCAGAAACCCCTTTTCGGGTCCCAGGGCGGTTCCTCTGCTTCCACCTCTACCCCATCTACTACGGCAACAACAACAACAACGGCGACACCCGCTGGAGGGTTGTTTGTCGGTATAAGCACCCCGAAGACGAATGCACCCAAGGAGTCGACTACCCCAGCCTCCACTCCGGGCCAAGCAGCTAGTGGAATGTTTAACCTCAATAAACCGAGCACAACGACAGCTCCCACAACATCAACTCCCGCAACGACCTCCACTACCGATGGAAAGACAACTATCACTGCTCCTCCAACAACTGACACTACCACTGCCACGACCACTGCTTGCACCACACCCACAACTACAGCAACCGCCAGTGGCCTGGGGGCGTCGATTGTAGGACCACCTCCCCCAGCCCAATCCCGTCTCAAAAACAAGACCATGGATGAGATTATAACTCGTTGGGCCACTGATTTAACGAAATACCAAAAAGAATTCCAAGAACAAGCGGAGCAAGTCGCCACATGGGATCGTATGCTTGTGGACAATGGAACCAAAGTACAGAAACTTTATGGCAATACCGTCGATGCGGAAAGGGCGACACAGGAAGTTGAACGCCAATTAGCATCTGTGGAAGGGCAGCAGGATGAATTGAGCTCGTGGCTCGATCGGTACGAACAGGAGGTTCAAGCTTTGTTGTCGAAACAGGTTGGGACTACAGATTCATTGCAAGGACCAGACCAGGAACGTGAACGAACGTGAGAACCAGCTTCCCCAATATCCCAATCTACGTCTAACCATATAATTTTGCCTCCAGCTAACCATCCTTCAAAACAGTTACAAACTCGCCGAACGCCTATCCGAACGCCTCAACGAAATGGGCCAGGACCTAACAAGCATGATCGAAGAAGTAAACTCCGCCTCCTCAACTCTAAACAAGACAACCAAGGCCGATGAACCCGTACGTAATAACTATAACCCCTACGTATTTTATCTCCCTTCACTATCCAGACGCACATTGTTGTCCTTTTTGCTAACCTATCCCACCCTACCCCTCTCCCTTTTGTTGCCACCTCCAGATCTCCCAAATCGTCCGCATCCTCAATTCACACCTCTCCCAGCTCCAACTCATCGACCAAGGCACAGCAAATCTACATGCCAAGATTGCCGCAGCGCAAAAGCTGGGTAGCTCGCTTAGTGTGCATCAGCATCAGAGCCCGTATGGGCAGTATAGGAATGGAACTAGCAATGGGCTTGGTGGGGGAGGTGCGGCGGAAGATTTTTACAAAGCTTATATGGGCCGTCGATAGGGGCTGTTGGATGGGACTTGGGGATTAGCATTGGGTTGGGGAAACGGATGTTAACTTTTCCTCCAATTAATTCTGATTGTCGGGGAATTGCGGTTGTTGGTATACCCGGCATTTTGGAATCTATTCTTGTTTTCTTTTCTGGTTTTTCTCCCTTCTCATTTCATGTTATGCCATGCTTTCCATTTTATCTCTGTGTCCCGATTTTATGATATCGGTTTTCTTTCTGGGGTCACATCTGTATCGTTCCCATTTTATATATAAAGCTGTCTTGATATTACTTTCCTCCTTTTCCGTCCCTTTTTCAATAATTTGCAGAATGTTTTTATAAAATACGGCTTACTACCCGGGGGACAGCTAATCTTTCTTTCTCCTTTTCTTTTCATCTTGCTTATATTGACAGTGGAATATATCCTAGCGCGTCCATCCTCCCGGATACATTGTCGCGTCATTAGAGATCATCATCCTTACCAGAGCACAGCATATCCCGCATAAGATATATTTGAAAAGTAACATGATAATCAAGGGAGCACAATAAATCATATGAGTAGTAACCAAGCATCACGGAAACGATACGTCCTCTAAAGACTTCTAGCCCTTACCTCCGGAGCTTCTACCAACTCTTTTAGCTTTCCTATTCTCGGAGGGTTAACTATCTATAGACTCCGCCACACCCTCGGCCACGCTTTTTTTATTCTTCTGCTTTCGTTTTTCTCTCTTCTATCTTGGAAAAGGGGACTTGCAAATATCTCTCGATTCATGTTAAGACTGTAGATGTAGCTTACATCAGGAGCAGAAAATAAAACAATACAAAAAAATCGACATACCGACAAGTGAGCGGCGAGAAAAGGTTTTTAAATCCTAAGGCGAAAAAAGGTGTATAACTATATGTATGACGGCTGTATTATGTTAATTTCTTTCCTTTTCTGTTTTCTCTTCCTTGGTTGTGAATTTTGCAGAGGTACTCGAAGTGTATGATTTGTGTCCATTCCATATTGTCGAGGAAAAAAACATATCCGAACGTAACAAAGCTCAATCAATCAAGCAAACAATCCCCTTCACCATCTACTACATACCTATGTATACGGTCGGAAAACAAATTGGGGAGTTCCCTTTTTCCACTTTTGCTGAAAGAATATTTGCATATTTTGTTTTGTTTGGCTTTGGGGTTTTGGGTTTTATTTCCTTACTCGATTGATCGTCATTTTGTGAATGGGGGGTTTTTTTCCCCCCCTTTTCAATACGAAAGGAGCACGAGAACAAAGGACGAAATCGAGAAAGGATGGAAATGAGAAATCAAGACATTCTGAGAAAAGGGAACGGAGTATTAGAAAACGAAAAACAACCTAACAGAGATACTTCCCAGCCGCTAAAATCGAGGAAAGGGAACGGGGGGAAATGGGGTCAGGGTTGGCGAGTGATTGGGGTGTGAGAGAGGAGCAAAGGGAGATGAGAAAAGCGAGATTTGAATGGGATGGACCATGGAAAAGGGTTTTGGAGCGCGATAAAATAAATTGAAGAGCACGGCACATCGGGGAAGGATGGGCAGGTAAAAAAGAGATTAACAAAAGCCACGACAAAGGTTCCCTTTGTATCCACTCCAATCTAAAAAACAGTAAAAATAACTTCTTTCAAATTTTTTCTTCTCTGTCTACTCAGCGGCCTTAGGAGCATCCTCGCTAGTAGCAGCAGGGGCTTCATCCTTTTGCTCAGATGGGGCAGGGGCCACCTCGGGGGCGGGTTCAGCCTCAGATGATGTCCAGAGAGTCTAAGATAGAAATGTTAGGTATTGGAATACATGTCTGATTGGGGCGGGTTGGGATGGTATTTACCAGGTTGTCTCTCAAGAGTTGCATAATAAGAGTGGAGTCCTTGTAGCTCTCCTCGCTAAGTGTGTCAAGTTCTAAAGTTCAAAGTTAGCTTTTGGTTCCTATCTGACATCCAAGGTAGGTTGAAAAAGTCAATGACATACCAGCAATAGCGTCATCGAAAGCTTGTTTGGCGAGGTGGCAAGCCTGGTCTGGGGAATTCAGGATTTCATAGTAGAAGACGGAGAAGTTGAGAGCAAGACCTAGACGGATGGGGTGGGTAGGGGCAAGATCGGTCTGAGCAACCTCAGTTGCATTCTTGTAAGCCTCCAGCGACTTATCAGCAGAGTCTTTGCGCTTGTCTCCAAGAGCGAACTCGGCGAGATAGCGGTGGTAGTCCCCCTTCCTACAAACGAACACTCAAATTAGATAAAACAAGACAGAAAGTCGAATATATCAAGCGCTGGGCAGCAAACCAGCCAGCACAAAAATAAAAATTAAAAATTAAAAATAAAGAAAGAAAGGGCGAAATGCGACGAAAAGGTTAGATGATTGCTTACATCTTGTGGTAGAAAACCTTGGATTCTCCAGTTTCCGCAGAGGCGATAAGGTGCTTGTCAAGCACATCCAAGATGTCCTCACAGATCTTGGCCAACTCAGTCTCGATGTTTTGGCGGTACTCCTTGATAAGAGCAACCTGCGCCTCATTGCCTTTCGACTCCTCCTTTTGTTCGATCGAAGTAACGATTCGCCACGAGGCACGTCGGGCGCCAATCACGTTCTTATAGGCAACGGAAAGTAGATTGCGCTCCTCGACGGATAGCTCCTTGTCTGCAGAAGCCACAATCTTCATGTTTTCCACCATTTCTAATCCAGAGTCAACATTTTTCACATGTTCTTCACCCACATTGCGCTTTTAAAGGGGTGCCTAGGTAGGCAGGTTGTATTTTGTCACGGACCTTCGTAGCGCTCGGCCTGCTCGGCGAGCTTGGCGAGATATACAGCATCTTCGTA